GGGTAGTTAGTTAATCAATTGTGGCCCTGAAAAAATTTGAAGGAAAAAAACTACGAATTTTTAAGAAAATGCTTCTTTCGTGAGAAGGACTCTTAAACGCTGACAAACGTCAACAAATAGCGAAAACTATAATTTCTATATGTTTGCTTTGCTCGAAATCGCGCTCATTTACAAGGCCCTAAAGCGTTTTGCTGAGTTGCAAGGACCCATCTGTTATAACGATGCCCAAAATAAAGAGATGAATCTCTTGGTTTGTTACATATAATCCGTGTAAAGTTTGTTTAATCATTTTCGCATAAATTATGACCTAAATTTGGAAACCGCTGAATTTCTCGAATTGGGTCTTTGCGATTTTGGTGAAACTCTGTTCAGCGCAAGGCACTAACGCGCACTATGTGTAGCCGAGAGATTTTCACAGAAAAATGCCGGCAACCGCCGATTTTCGACTCAGACCTCCAAGGGGCGTGGCACTATAACCACGTGACATTTACTCCGATCGCCAAAAATTTTATGTTATATTGTAGATTGATCCATATGTTATCCATTTTATGTGTTAAACTTACGATAAAAGTAAAGGTGGGGATACCAGAGAGCTTCAAAGTAGGATGGTATCCCCCCAAAAAACTGGGTCGAGTCACCTTAAGCGGGATACTAGCGTGAACTTCCGCGCCTCCCCTAAGCAAAATGAATGATAAAATAAATAGTAAAAGTTATTGCCAAAAAGACAACTGCAACAACTGATCTAACAACGTGAAGAGACTGTTGTTATGATATTTCGAATGGCCAGTTCCAGTCTTCGTTATGTTTATAAGGAAGATCACGAAATCACATAAATAGATATGCAGTACTGCAATTGGTGGAAGTGACGTAATATAGTGTTTCTATAACAGAAAGACGAATTACGATATGTTATATACTATGAACATAGTGGCGAATTATAAATAATCACGCTTATTAATGCCCAGAGGCTCAAGAGTCCTTTTATGGATGAAATTTGCCTCGCTCGCCTACCTGATAGAATCGCGTCCAGTCTTGAATTTATCAATAGGGATCAAGAGCAGATGGTTGCAAGAAAAACGTTGAGAAACTGTTGTACTGCGGTGAAAACGGTGCAGTAATTGGTCAGTTACTTGACAACTGTACTGCTTATGCGCTTTTATTGGATAACCAGTCATCCTACCGCTAAGGTCACTCTACTGAAACCGGGCTTGTTAAAGTCCATAGTTATATCCTAATGAACAAGGGCAAGCAGAAGGTGAACTTTCTTGTTCTTCTTGACTTGAGTGCTGCTTTTGATGCCATTGATCATAAGACCTTGCTAGAAATCTCGAAGACTGACTTCAGGGTTGTTAGCAACGCAAAGAGATGGATTTGGTCCTTTTTCTCTTGTCGCACTCAGTATGCTTTCATCAACGAGAACTGCTCTAAAAGTTTCGATATAGACTGTTCCACAAGGTAGCTGCCTGGGACCGATTGTATTTATCATGTTTGCATCTGGGATCTTCGTTAAGAACCACTTGCCTAGTATCCATGGGTATGCGGATGATAGTCAGCTGTTTCTGTTCTTCAAGCCATTGTCGACATCTTTTCAACATGATGCGCTTAAAGCAATCGAAGCTGACTTTCGAGCTTGTATGGTCACCAGCCGACTCAAGATAAACGACACAAAACGAATTTTCTCATTGTGGGTTCCTTCCAACAGTTGAGCAAGGTCCAGCTTGAATCAATCACTGTCGGGGATTCTGAAATCAAGCCTTTTTCCAGCGTCTGCAGTCTGGGGCATGGTTTGATAACAATCTCTCCATAAGCATTCGTGTGGAGTGATCCCTACACTTTAATATCTAATACCAGCTACGAAATAAAGGTCCCCAAAACAAAGTGCAAGACCTTTGTGGACAGGGCCTTCGCTCGTGTTGGCCCCTCACTGTGGAACACTCTTCCTTCAGCTATCAGGAGTATCCGGAGTGTTCAGGGTTTCAGTCAGGCTCTAAAGACCTTTATCACACCTTTTTATTTCGTTTCGCATTTGCCCAGTGAACCAATTCGTGTACCGTGATTGCGGTGTTTTAATTTTCCCTAAGTGCACTTTTTGTTATCTGTTAGTGTTTACCAATTTTTATTATCGCCTTAGAATATGTATATAGTTTTAGCACTATGTGAATAAAATAAAATATATTATTATCATTGTCGCGTTCATCAGAACACATCCTAATCTGGTGTTCCTGTGGCACAAAGGCAGAAATTTTCGAGCTATCAAGGGCATCTCGGCCGGGAAACTGGCCTCCTTTCGACTCGATTTCGTTTCCGTAAGTCACGAACGCGGATCCGTAATCGATGATTAGCTCTAGTTGTTATCATGGATGTAACTGCTATTAGGGTTAAGTACTGGTCGCGATTCTAGGCAAGACAAAGGAAGGACTCTTGAGCCTCTGGGCATTAATAAGCGTGACGATTTATAACTCGCTACTATCTTTATAGTATATAACATGTCTTAATTTGTATTATTTCGTAGAAACACCATATATACTGCGTCACTTCCGCCCATAGTTAGTACTGCATATATATTTCTGTAATTTCGTGATCTTCTCGATAAACCTGATGAAGAATGGTATTGGCGAGTCGAAATATCGTAACTTTCACGTCGTTTGATCAGTCCTTGCAGTTGCCTTCCGGACAATAATGTTTACTTTTTATTAATTCTGACTCATCGCGATCTAGCTTTTTTGATCCAATGTTGAGCAAGATTGATCGTACACGGTTTTTGCAGTGTTGCTTTTTTTTTTACGTCTTGTACCTAAACTTTTCAATAAAAGAAAATCGGGGAATTTTTTGTTTTTTACCGGGGGGAGCGGTTGTACTTAGGCTAGTGGGACAGACTGAAAACGTAATATAAGAGGATGCTTCTAAAATAGAACCGCGTTTGATAACGGCAAACATTTGTTAGCTCAAAAGATGGCTTTTACAAAATAAGTTAAAATGAACAATTTTCTTGGAAAAAAGAAGTCAATTCCTACCTGTTTTTGAGAGTGGTTCGTGTTAAATGCATCGTTGGCTGCCTTGAGCCTATTCGACTTTTTTTTCCTGCTTACAAAACAATCTTTTTGTTCCTGCGATAAAAGCATGACTTGTTCATTCCTCACACCAGGATCGAAGCTAAATGTTTGACGTAACAATGGAGCTTTTGAGTTTGCGCGCGCATAGGAACATCGTTTCCAGTTTTCTACCGTGATTGAGCTGGACACTTATTGCCTGTGTACACTCGCCCCCTTCTCTAAACAAAATAAATGATAAAATAAAATGGAAGAAATTTTTTGGAGGGAAGTGAAGGGATGTACTTAGGCTAACCCAACTGAAAAAGTGATATGCAAAAAAAAGCTTTTAAAATAGTACCGCGTTTAAACACGGCAAACGTTTGTTAGTTCAAAAGATCGCTTTTTCGAAAGCGAGAGAAAAAAAATTTCTTTGAAAAAAAAGAATCCGTTCCTACCGGCTTTTGAGAGTGACGTGTAAAATGCATCGTTGGCTGCCTTAAGTCGGGTTTAGGTAGTGAATTATGTATATATGTATATATTTTTAACGCCAACAGAACACTATTTTTGTTCCCGCGATAAAAGCATAACTTGTTCATTCCTCTAACAGGATCAAAGTAATTGACTCAACAAAGGGCTTTGACTTTGCGCGCGCATCAGAAAATCCTTCCCCGTTTTCTACCATGATTGAGCGGGACACCTATTGCCCGTGTACATTCCCCCCTCCTTTTAACAAAATAAATAACAAATAATATCGGGGAGATTTTTTTGAGGGAAGGGAGCAGCTCTTCTTAGGCTAACGGGAAACCATACTGGAAAAGTAGCATGCAAAAAAATGCTTCTAAAAATGTCGCGTTTAAAAAGGAGAAATGTTTGTTTGTTCAAAAGATCGCTTGTTCGAAAGTTTCTTGTACAAAGGAATCAGTTCCTACCTGTTTTTCAGAGTGATTTGCGTAAAATGCATCGTTGGCTGCCTTAAGTCGGGTCTATTAGCAAAAGAATTATTTGAAATGCTAACAGAGCACTTTTGTTTGTTCCCGCGATAAAAGCATGACTTGTTCAATCCTCCAACAGGAACATAGTTATTGTTGGACGTAACAAAGGGTTTTTGACTTTGCGCGCGCATCAGAACATCGTTCTTAGTTTTCTACCAGATTGAGCGGGACACTAGTCTGTGAACAGCCGCTCCCTAGCCTAGTCAAGATAAATAACAAAATAAAATCGAAGAATTTTTTTTCTTGAGGGAAGAGAGCAATTGTGCTTAGGTAGCGGGACACCAAATTGAAAAAAAATATGCAGAAAAATGATTCTAAATAGCATCACGGATAAAAGCGGCAAACGTTCGTTGTTCCAAAGATCGCTTTTTCGAAATAAGTGAAAAATGAAAACTTTTCATTGAAAAAGGGAATTAGTTCCTACCTGTTTTTGAGAACGGTTCGCGTAAAATGCATCGTTGGCTACCTTTCGTCGGTTCTACGTGGTGAAAGAATTTTTTTCCTGGTAAGGGAACAAATTTTCTTGTTCCTGCGATAAAAGCATGACTTGGTCATTCCTCCACCAGGATCAAGGTTAATGTTTGACGTAACAAAGAGCTTTTGAGTTTCCGCGCGCATCAGAACATCGTTCCCAGTTTTGTACCGTGATTGAGTGCGGCACTAGCCTTTGTATATCCGCACCCCCCTCTAAACAAAATAAGGATAAAATAAAAGCGGGGAGATTTTTTTGAGCGAAGGGAGCGGCTGAACTTAGGCTAGCGAACGGCACATTACACTGCCACAATGTTCATGTTACAACCCAACTCACCCAAAACATACACAAACCCGCAGAATTCCAGAGAATTTATACTAAGGAAATTCACGATTAAACCAAAGCTCGAGAGAACGGAAACAAAGAAATGTGATGTTTACGTTTTTTAATAACAATTTCAGTGCAAGAACTCAAATCTTATTTGTATTTAATCATGATAAAACGTTTTCATAGAATATCTTACAGGCAAGTGAAAACAGCGCTGTCATGTGCTTAGAACTTTCGGAAAGCACCTAACAGACACGAAATGGAAAATCTTCTGTACATATTTCATTTTGTACAAAATAGATCTTATTCACCATATCGCCATATTTTCGCGCGCATTAAGGTTCATGGAATAAAAGCAATGTCGCGTGGTGATTTAGTGGGGCAAACAAGTGAAAAGTTGTCAATACGAGTAATCGCGGTCGAGTTCGTTTATTCCCTCAAAAGGAGACGACGATATTAGAAGTGCAAAATATACAGTTCAAGTTTCGACAAGTTTTACTCCACTATTAATTGCTATGAGGACATCAGCGGTAGCTACTGCATCAAAATTCGCTTTTATCGTCTTTAAGATAAAAAGATGTTCACTTTCTGTTGTCTAGAATAAAGGTAAGCAAACCTGTCGGTTGACGGATTGGATTAATGGAATCGCGTTTACTATTTGTACAAATCAGTTCCATTTACCGAAAAAAGGCCTGAAACTGGGTATCAACGAAATGGAACACGAATTTCTGATTAGAACATTCCGTTCGGAAAAACAGGACTACCTTTTCAGATGTTCCGTTGCTCTCGGAAGTTTTCCGGTGGAGCGAACCAAATAGTCGTGCTCCATTTCCTTTCCAACCGGATTTTCCGGAAACTTTTTGTAAATGGTAAACAACCTTTATCACTTGTTTTCCCATGAGAAAGCACGTGACATCGCTTTTATCCCATCAGTCCTTTGGTGCGTGCAAAGATTGCAGATATCGTGAATAAGGTCTATCGTTGGGGTTACTTTCGGCTTTCTCCATGCAAGTGCCAATTTGAATGTGGAGAACACTGAAGACAACGTGTAAAGTCATACAATCTCTGGCGCATTTAGTTTATCGACACTTTTACGTTAGTCTTTCGGTAATCCTTTCAATACGCCGCTTTCAATTTCGGCACTCAGTTCGTTAACAACTGTCATGTGATCAAATTTGTCCGGGAAAACATTAAACGTCTTGAGGATCTCCTCTCTGTGACTGCTCTCCGATGAGTAGTACATCTGAACTTGATATGCCAGCCACTGGGCATCCAAGACGCTCTGAAATAAAGGTACTAGAAACGTTAATTTTACGGTAGCTAGCCTACGTACCTGGCGGGACTCTACTCAAATCTTCTCTAATCAAAGTTCTGCAAGTTGTTTTAGAAAAGGCCTGTTGTAAGGGAGATTTAATCGTTTGTTTCTTTTGATTAAGATGTTGTAGTCAGTATCAGAGAACTCAGTAGCGCTCCACCTATCACAAAAATAGTGAGGCTAGTTTGAAAATGATGCTAGACAATGAGATTGTTGTCTTGGACGCTTCGCGGTAGCTTGCAAAAGTAAACGGCTATCTTGGCTTTTGTTTTGTTTTGTTTAAATATTTAAACCCGCCAGGAAAGGCATTGTGTCCTTTAAGGTAGTTGTACTAGCACTGATCATATGTAGCTGTATTACAAAGGAAGAGTTGCCGCTATCCTAAAACCTTCAATTCTTAACTTACCATTGCGTTTGTATCCACTTCCCCTACCATCAGCACTATCCCTGTACAAAATAAAGAAAAACATTAAAATTAATCAATATTAATAAATGAATTTAAAAAAAGTTCAGGTGACAAGGTCTCTCCAAATTAATGTTTTCTTTAAGCACAATTTAGCACCAGTACTTTTCAATATTCCCGTATATTTCCTCTAAATTCAAACATTACAACCTTGACACAATTTGTATGGTCCCCTTTGTATAGGGGACATAGTCCCCTGTGTGGTGGCCTATCTTTCATGGGGGAGGGACTGTTAAGGGCCCGTGTAGTGGCGCCACGCATTGTTGCGGTCACCCTGCCAGGAACTGGCGAACCAAAGAAAATAAATAAATTATGTATTAAAGATACCTGTCATTTGACTGCTTATTGGCTGTAACTAGGGTTCCAGTCAAATGTAAGGTAAATTGAAGTTGTTTTGTACACCTGTATTTTCGTATGGGCATGTATAATACCAACCTTTACTCTCTCTGAGGTCAGTAAAATGCTTCATTGCTAGTGACCAAGGAGCATTCTCACCTTGTGTCTGTTGAAATTATAATAACAAAGAAAATGAATTCAGCAAATTGATGGTTGTAATCTGGCAAATTTAGGTGTATCAGTCTCCCTGGCTGTGGTTGAGGATTTTTTATACATGCATGGTTATTTGGTAATGAAGTAAGAAAACATGTGATGAAGTTGGGACTCCCTTATGCACCCCATGTTAGGTAATCTAAGCCTGTCTTGGATTCTAGATTTCAATTGTTAGCGGGATTCCAGATTCCTATATAGGGAATGGAGATGCTTGTCATCTAACTGCAGATCTTGATCTTTCTAAGGGTGTTCTGAATGGAAAGCCAAATTTTTACTTACAAGTATCACCTGTATGTAGGTGACTAAGAGCCATTTTTTGTTATTTTTAGTAGGACTTAGTAGGATTCATCATCAGTGGAAACATCGACAAAGATGTGTAAAAGAATTAGTTAATTTAACCTTTAAATTCTATGAACTTTTCTCCAACTAATGAGTTTCTTTTTGTTGAGACTGCTATGCTCTCAAATAAAATTGTGTTGACAAATGGAGCTGGCAGTAACACTAAATGTAGTTCTATTTTCAATACTTCAAACGATTTTAGGCCAACCTTCAAAAAAATTTAGTAATTCAGCAATTAAATTTTTATAAAAGCAAAACCTCTTAAGTTTGAAGAACTTTGCTTAACTATTGCTATTTCTAACCTTTCACCTCATTCAACCCTGAGGCGCACCCACATTGGTCTCCTTAGACTAGGTTTAATTTTCTTTTTAAGTCAAGTATCCCCCTTTCATGTAGGATTCACAACCCCCCCTCCCCCCTTCCTCCTTCTCACCCAGGAGCTAGCATATGCAACAAACAATTGAATTAAGGACAGCAGGTGTTGTGAGATCACAGTTCTTCATTTACGTGCATATAAATAATAACATCATTATTAATATTTATCATTTTAAAGTCCTTATACCCACCTGATAATGTAGAAGTGAAGTAAAATAGCACTTGTGATCTTTAAACTCAGCATACATAAATTCATACCCTTGTTCTCTGGGAAGAGGGTAAATAAACTGAAAGATAATAAAGCACTATTGGTTACATTGAAAATCAATATGCCCTTTGCAGCTGTGGATCACCTGACCTGTCCAATGCCATGAAATTATCTAAGGGTCAGGATGACCCCCCCATCCACCTTATCACAAGGTCTGGATCTGGTACTGATTTCAAAGTACGTAAAAACTCTGCCTTATGTCTCAATTGACTTTCTACCTAATTTTGTCATGAGCTTTCCATTTTGTGTGGTATTGTTCAAGGTGTGTCCCTTAATTTTTCAATATGCAATTCAGGTGACAGCAAGATGCAAACTCCAAGGGCCAGATTATACAAAAACATTCATTTATTTCTTCTTTGGGGTTGATCGAGCTAGATGAACTAAAAAAAGATATATCACCTACGTGAACATAGCATTAATCATTAGCTGGTAATCTACCAACTCCCAAGAGAGGAAAGGAAATACTTGAAGATTAATTGAGGCAGGTAGATGAAGTAGCTGGGGGAAAATGGATGGTTGTTGTGTACTAGTTTTGCATAATCATGATTTTTTTTGCCTACATTTGTATGCTGAATTTTTTGCCCCCGTTGTAATTTCAATCTGCAAATGGTTTTGAGCAGTAGGTACATTCTGTAAAAACAACGTGGCTTAAGAACTTTATTTTTTTAAAAAATTGCACAATAAAATAAATGCATCGCAGTAAAACGTTATAATCCTCCAACCCACCAAAGTTAAATTAAAGAATGTTGTGAGGCATGATTGAAACATAGGTACTGTTACATTAAAACCATATTACAATGCAGTATGGACATTTAACATGTAGGTTTCATTAATTTACTGATCAGTGTCACAAAATATTATTCTGTTAAATTAATGCATGAAGATATTCCAAAATTAATAATATTACAAAAGACTATAACTAGTAAATGAAGACAACAGTGGGTTATAGCTTGAACATAATTGTGTCAAAAAACACTTGGGAACTGGTACCTAGTAATCCTATCCATTGGGTTATATATCGAATTCATACAGGCCCCAGCCAGCTGCCTATTTATGGTATAACTGTGAAAGGTTTGCACCCAGGAGTCATTTCAAAAGTAGGTTTGATCGTATACTGATAAAGAATTATCATGCACTGTGTTCTCTATAACATCCCAGTCATATTACTGAATTTATACGCACATCAATATACTTACCAGTGGGAACCTAAGAGATCTCTCTTCTATTCTGTCATACAAGTTACTCTGTAAATCAAACATTGAGCATTCTCAGAGAACAAGTTAATACTTGTAAACAACTTTTAAGCTTGAGTGGGTATCTCTCTTTTGGTTTTCCATGATGAAAAAATGGAAGGGAGCAATATTAGTTTTGATTCTCTGTCCATTTAAACATTTGGTATTAATATTTCAAATTTTCTTCTTCTAGTAACTTATTTTCTTTTCTTAAGAGCTGCTGATTGGATGTATTGAATGTGTTATTATTTTCCCGTAATTGGATTGGTCAACTTTGTCTAGGCGGCCTCAGTTACAGTAGTCACACTGTAACATTATTTTACATGTAGCCTTCGTTTCTTTATTTTATTTGCCTATTGTTCAGCACTGTAAACCAGAAAGTGCCGGCAAGATATTCCCTCCTTCTACTCTTCCTATCTTCTTGTCTATCTCTCTTGCACTATATCTTGCTCAAAACTTGAGGATTTCTTGAAAAATGAGATTTATTACTTTGCATCATCAATGACTTCCTGCATACTTTATGTTTATTAACATTAACTTTACTTACTGGGATGACAGCACTAATGCAGTCTTTATCTTTGTGATATTCCCGCCAGATCTAAAATTGAAAACAAAAAGAAAAAAAATCAACAAAAGTTTTAACCAATTGACTTTAAGGCCTGATTTTTAACATGAACTTCACATGTGCCAATTAAATCCAACGCAATGAGCAAGAAAAACAGACTTTCTTGTTACTGTCCGACAAACCTTTTAGCCTCTCAATTTAACTTGTCTTTCATAGTGAAAAAAAAAATCTCCCACAGTTTCAGTATGGTTCATGAGATCTTTATAGTCAACTAAATTTATTCTCATGTCTTTTCTGTAATTTATTATAATCCTTCACTTAAACTTAGGTATTAAAAGACAACAAATGAAAGCTTAACTCTCACCTGTCCAATTTCCTCAGCACTCTTATCTGCAACTTTGTCCAGATGCATAATGGAGTTTAAAGTCTATAAGACGTACCACAAAATAATATGATGATTTAAATGAAAGTAGAAATGATCCTCACAGTCAAATATGAGTCATTTCATAATTATTTCCATTCTAAATAATACTAGAAAGACTTACTGTGTTCAGCACCTTGTGTGACTAGGGAAATAATATCAAATATTATTCTCCTTTTAACCCATTGGCTCCAAGGAATTTTGCCCAAAAATGAGTCTTAATGCTAGTCGCACCATTTCCTAGTCATTATCTGGCTATTATTTAAGAGCTAAGACTCATAAATTCAAAATATCAGCTTCTGAAGTTCGGCATACAAAAAAAGTAAAATGTCGCTTTCCTCCACCCCTCTTCTTTTGTTTTATTGCCCCCTTTGTTTTCTTTTGCTGAGCATTTTATACTAGCCTTCATTTTGAAGGGAAATTTTTTCAGAAAAACTTTTAGGATCATAGGATTAGATGGATTAGGAAGTGCTGCTGGGAAGTGGACTGAGACTTTTATCAATATTTTAAGTTGTCCTTGACATTTATTAACCGATGATGTTCCAAGGAATAAAAGGGATGTGACCACACAGGTGGTTATGGATGGTTCAGGGGCAAATGGGTTCATTAACCCATTCGCTCCGGGAGATTTTGCCGAAAAACGCGTTTTGAAGCTAGTCGACTGGTTTTCTGGTCACTGTCATGCTATAAAGAGCTAAAACTTACCACAGACCGGTTTACAGGTCGTACACCTGGCGGCCTTCTGATCCAGATGCAAAACATCAGCTTGCAAAGTTCGGGCATGCGCAGAAAGCAAAATTTCGACATAGTTTTTGGGTTTAAAAGTGACACAGCAGTCTTGACTTTTACTTTTCGCTTTTCCTCCTCCCTTCTTTTTTCGCTTTTCTTGCCTCATTTTTTTTTTCTCTTGCTGGGCATTTAGTAGGCGTCCTTTTGGTGGGAAGAGTTTTTAGGAAAGCTTTTAGGATCTTAGGATTAGGTGAAAGGAAAGGTAGGTGGAACAAGATTTTCATGGAGATTTTCAGGTCAATGTCACGTGGTTTTTTGCTTGTTTCTCCGGTGTCCTTGACTGAATTGTGCTCATTCTGGTATGGTTTGAAAGATCTCTTCACTCTCCACAAGTTAGCAAAGTTGTCCTTGACCGTTAAAACTGATGACGTCACAAAGGGTAGAAAGGACCTGGATCCGCACGGGCGGTTACGGGCGGTTCAGGGGCGAATGGGTTAACAAACACAGTCATTGGGACAGAGAATCTAACAATTTGCTGGAGGTCACTTGCAGCTTTATAATTTCCAGAAAGGCCTTGAACTGAAAGACAGAGAGACTACTGATTTTACTAATCAAAACAAACCTTCTCCCCATACACTGGAGTCCCTCCACTGGAGGACAAAGGATTGCTTGTAAGAAGTGACTTCTGAAAAGAAATGGATGTTAAAATCTTTACTATTACGTTATGACAGTTATGTTACTTTCACACTACAGTATTTTACAAATTTGGCATAAAAATGATTTTAATGGCCTTTTTGGCCTCAAAAAGAGGTAGCAGTTGGGTGCTATAATATTAGCGTGAACAAAATCAAAACCATAATTTTATTGTCCTTTGATAAAACACTTATATATGCATTTCTGACCTTCCTTAAAACTATTGTTAGGGCCTGCCTTTTACAGTGTAGCTGTTTGTTGGGGATCAAAGTGGTTTTATGCATCAAAAACAAATGCCTCTGAATCACAGGCCCTCATTTAAAATTACTTGCTTAAAATCTGGACTTGGTTATAGTGATGACACAATCTAGCCTCCTCTGCAGACAACTCCTATCGTAACAGTTACACTGACCTTGAGGAGTTTGAGCATGAGAAAAGGAGAAAATAATGTGGTGGAGTTGCCTGCCAAAATTCAAAGAGTGTGCATGGACTACATGCGTCCTTCATCCTTGCGGACCAGTGACTCTACCTGGGGTCCCCTGGGGGTTTTCATCAGACAAATTATTACAAGTCCAGTCCCCTAAGAAAATTTTTTGTCATTCTAACATTCTGACATGGAGACAACGCAAGCGTGCTGTAAGTACAGCAATCTTGCTTTTATGCACTGTTTATTAGAAATTATTTTTTGCTCTGTTTGTTATTCCATTTTCCATGTTTGCTGTCTGGGGAGAATCTAGTTTCTGTCGTTTTTTATTCAGACTGTTGCCTCGCTAGTTTTTTACTTTTCAAAAGTTTGTTACCAATGATTTCATTTAGCTTTAGTTACATAAAGTTTGAATTATATCAAAACAACACGACTTACACACTGTACCACGCAGCCCGTCAGGTATCAATGTTTTTCATTTCTTTGTTTATAATTCTGTCATTTCTCACTGACATTGCCCTCTATTATTCAAATCCAATTCAACTGGCCATAAGATTCGTATCTTTAAACAGACTCTTTGAAAAGCCTACAAACTGTGCAGATTTGATATCGCTTGACTTAATTAACATACACTGTAAGCTTAATCATTTGCTGACTGAGATAACCTTTACTACAAATTTTTTTATGTGGCTTTCACAAGTTTGCTGATTCTCTTATCCTTGTTTGACACAAAAAACAATAATGATTTAATGATAAGTTTTTCTTTATACTGAAGCAAGCCTCACTTTCGATAATACAAGCTTAAGTGTTAATTGTTGGTAAGTTTAGTTTCGGTTTTGCATCATTCGATCGTGCAGTACATCAACACACATAAGCTTAAGCTTTAATACATAAACTGGAGGCTGTGGTAAGATTTTCTGACAATAAATATTTTAAGAGTAGAAAATAATTAGATGCGAAAACGCCTTGATGTGTAATTCAAAACTCCAAGATTTGTATGTGAAAACAGCTCTTTTTGCAAAGCCTTTTGATCTTGCACAATAAGTATTCATCAATGCCAAAGAAAAACTCTATGAGGAATTTTTTTTGTGGCTTTCTAGAAAGTGTCCTTACTTTTATCCTTGTATGACAACAGACCAGCTCTTAATTTGTCCACCAAGACACATGTACTTTTCTTTATACTGAAGAAAGCCTCATTATTACAAGTTTAAAAAATGTTGTAAAGATTGGTTTTAGTTTTTGCAATTGATTGCCCACTACATCAACACACATACATCTGCGTAGGTTGGAGGCTTATTAAAAAAAAAATTCCTGAAAATTTTACAGTCAGGGAAAATATAAATGCATTATTTGCTGGTCCAGGAGGATGCATTTCCTTTTCGACAAACTAAGAAACTATTCTAGGTCCTGGTAAACAGCTTTTGTTCTCAAAATTCTCCCACTATCCCGTACACAAAATAATGGGATTTGTATGCATGAGCCAACATGTGAAGAACCTACCTTGTAGATATTGGGCAGGCATCACTGTTACTTCCTGTTCTCTCCCCACTCCCCCACTTATTCTCCAAAACAGGACAGTGAAGCCTGCTGAGGAGGCTAAGTCACACTCTAATATCACCCCCCCTGGTAAGGGTTTTTTATTATTGTAAGAAACTGAACATGAAGCTAAACTCACATCAGCAGCCTTTTTTTGGACTTTCTGTCTGTAACTTTCAGCTTCTCTCTGAACTTGCTCATCCAAACAAAACTTCTCACCTGGACTCTTCTCTTCTCTGTAATTTGTAACAAAAGGAAGGACAAAAGAGAAATGTCTTTTATAAATCACAATAATTGGTTTGAAATAACATCCCCAGCTAAGTGTATTATATCAGCCAACCAGCTTGAGAATAGCGTCCTCCTAGAGCCACATAATCTCTTTAAAAATTCATACAAAAGCAGATCAACTCATACAATATTTCCAAGTTCATAGCATAATAATACTACATGTGATTATTTTTAAACATTGAAAGAAACTTTTGAATTTTAGAGGCTGATAGTTTTTTTTTATTGAAATGAAGTGTTTTTAATTTGAATAATTTTTCTTAGTTAATTTATTTAACTCTTTCTAACCTAAATTAAGTGCTTTTTAAATCGATACGATTTGTAAATAGTGTTTTGAATGAATAGTTTTTTCTTTTTTTCAAGTGAATTAATTGTAAATAGGATTTTAATAGTTAGTATTGTTGTCAATAAAATGTTTTTCGTCTCACTTAAAATAATAATAATAATAATAATAATAATAATAATAATAATAATAGTATATACTTAACTATCCTCTCCCCTTCTGGTGCTTTTCATTGAATATGAAACAAATAATTCAAGTTGAACATAATACAAAGTTAAGAATCCTAACTGGTAGAAGGTGAACCAGATGGATATTTCACAAATGTTGCTGAGGATCATGAAGTTGGGAGTACCAAGGAACAAATCCAGTTAGTGGTCAGGGCAGGACTTGAAGTCAGGGCCTCCGGATTACAAGTCCGGTGGCCTTAACCGCTCGACCACACTGTCTCCTTCTATAAAAAGCATTTTGGAAATGAAAAACTCAAACTATTTTGGCATTCTTGCTTCCAGATAAAATTTCTTACAAAACACTTGCTTGGACCAACACAGTTTGAGGATATAAACAGATTTCCTGCACATATATATTTAGACTTGCCAAAAGTCAACCTCACAAGTGACCTCACAAGTTTTTAAGAGAGCAGAGTGAGCTTCTTGGGAGTTTTTGTCTCACTTTAAAGGTTTCTATTTGCATTTTGCCCCAAAATTGGGGACCGGCGTCACTCACATTTGGGGTTTCGGGTTACATTTGGGAGTCCTTCACTGCATTGATTCCACTACAACAAAGACAATCTAACCTGTGTATGCATGTTTCTCCGACATGGAAAGGGCAAATTTGTCAACTTTGTGCTTTTCAGTGTAATAACATCCTCAGGGGGCAGAAAAAAACCAAAGCTTGTTTTAATCTTGAGTCAATACTAAGTATTGGAAAGGAGATTTCCAGTGACGTTTGTTAACAAACATTTTACACCATGACTGTGCTGACAAGAATGAAACCATTGATCGGAAACTTCACAAAGTGTGGGAAATAAAGCTTCAAATTGTAAAGGAAGGCCATTGCAGAGAAAAAAGGAGGAGTAAGCCCCTGTCAATAAAACGACACGCACACGCTTGGATCAGGGTATGATACCGGCGAGCAAAAGAATCACATTGCAATCCTTCAGACATGCTTTGATTAATTTCCTCTGATAGTCACGCATATTGAATAAAATCTTGTGGCCTCGAGAGCATCTTTTATCATATTGTTTTTGCAATCAACCCTATGTTGGAATTTCAACCGCAAGTCACATTTCAGCGTGCTTAATTACTTGTGAGTGAACACTTTATCTCCAAGGGATCTAAAGTCGAGCTACTCTGATTGGTCTAAGCGCAGCGACCCATTTTTGGGTCACTAATTAAAACTGGATACCAATCAAGCATGAAAAGTCCTTTGTCCCAGGCCATACTAAATCGAACAAAGGTATTTTTTGAAAGTCTAGCATATATTCGTCATTAAAAAGTAGTTGATATCCGCCACACGGTGTTTTTGCTAGACATGCAATAATTTAACTGTTTCATCTTCACATGGCTGTGAAATCTACCAAAATTTTCTTGAGTTCTGCATTGCCAAAATATTGCCTGTCAGCTGGAAATATTATGTCAGATGAAACTACTGCCGTCATGTGAAAAGCTAAGGACACTTGGTTTCTGAGTCTCCACAAGTCGCCTCACTGCAGCAATACAAGCTTTTAAATTATACTATGTGAAATACGTGTTAGGCATGTTACTTAGTATACTTAGTTTGGGAGCTATAACTCACTTGCATTAGCAGATCAGTAAGTTTGATTAAAATATTTAGAGCTACTAATATCGCTTGATTACATGTATGTTGAAAATTTGCACTCACAATTTTCCTTCTTTTATCTCGTTCCTGACCTCCTTGATTCTCGCAGCGTATTTTTCGTAAAACGGATTCGACTCAATTTCATCACTTGCTGAATAAAAAACTCTAGATGACGACAAAAACTTTTTTACAGTTACACAAGAAGCCCGAAGGGCAAAGGCTTGTAGGGAAGAGCATGGATTTGCAATTTTTCTGAGGCGAACACAAACTCTCACAGCGGCAGCCATATTGGAAATTTCTTACTTGAAAAACGAGAAGACCCTGGGGACGAAGTTGCCACCAGATCTCTCTTTTAGATTTGTACCACTCCCAAAATGACAGGCTCGGCTGCCGGCTAGGGTGACAAGAAAATATTTAGTGCCTGGATTTAATTTCCTAGTCCGTTTTATACGATGAGACTCCGCCGAAGTCCAACCTCTTACCCTTTTATATATAGTTTTTAGCCTCGGACAACGCTCCGTAAGGGGGGAGGGAGAAGGAGGAAGGAAAAACGCCACCCCAGTCCACCACTACTGTGCTCGCTTCGCTTGACGTGACGATGTTTGCTGTTTCACCCCGATTTTGCCTCTCCCTCCCAATTAGAGTGAATACATCAGGGGGGGCTGGCAACGGCCTTTGATCTTGCCGCTTTTCGGCTTTCCATGATCGCCCCAGTTAAGAAATCTGTCAATCATTCGAGAACTGTAGCGAGCATGCGCGAAACGGGCTGAGAACAACAAGTTGTTCGTCTTCGCTGCGATTCGACAGTGTGAAGTGAATTCGCTGTTGGTCCTGTTGGTTATTGCTTTCTTTGCTGTAACCGATTTTTTCTGTAGTAATGTGGGGCTTACGTTTCCTTTCTTCTGGTCTTGCGTTTGTCATTACGTGCGGTTTACTACGCTAAGAATGAGACCAGTGAACAGTCATTGTACTTGTACATGTACATGTATATGTTCCTCGATGCCCGACCTTTTGGCTCACTAGAGGCTTTCAAGCTGTGTTTCTGTTTAGAAGACCCAGAAGACTAGAAAAACCCTCCAGTGTGTATGTATGTTTCAAGTGAAAGGCCGAAAATTCATCCTTCGTAACATTAAAAAAAGCGCGGTGGCCGTGGTCAAATAGAAGAGTTGTCAGAGTTGTTTATGGTTCTAATACACCTTTAAGACGAAAAGAAATGATGATTGATATTCTTAAATCTTCATCCTTGATTGTGAACTTATTCTGGTAGAGTTGCGTTGGTTGATGATTGAGTGGTGTATGGTCAAATCTCGTAGTTCATGTATTTTGTTATGTAATGGAAGCGAAATAAATTTTGCCAAGAGATCATTCACTCTTGATATGCTTAAGTTCTTATCTTCGTGTCAGTGATTTAATTTAAACTTTACCGTAGTTTCTAAGAAATGAATATAGGCAAATGAAAGTGTAATTATTTTGTGTGTTTGGAATTCTCTTTTCATGACAGCAGTTACTACACTACCTTCATTTTGAGTCCTCATTCAATTGTGTTTTGTTTTGTTGCAAACAAAGAGGGAGAAATTATAAATATTTTATTCCAAAAACTACACTACCCACTGGAACAAGAGTATGGTTTAAAAAAGATTAGCTAAGGTCAGAAAATAAATGTTCAAGTTTGCATGTTTTGACAAGGACTACATCTGGCTAAATATGCTTCAAAGGGAATTAATTTATAAAATTAAAAAAAATAATGATGACATTTCTATTTTTGCTTTTCCTTTGGTCACTGTGATCAGTTTTTGCCATATAGTTGCATGCAATGTTTTACACCTTTGGACATCAACCTACCAGGTTAGTTTATGTCTGTGTAAAAATGTAATTTACTGTTAATGAAATCAAACTAAACCCTCTCAACTTAAAAATTGCCTTGTACTAGTGGATATTGAAAACACCATAGGATGCCTATGATTATTAAGATAATATTAGTTGCAGTCAACAACAGCAGTTAGAAACTTGTGTTGAGGGTGGCAAAAATATTTTTCAGAGACCATAAGCCTTCACTGACTTTGCTGTTACAGTAAGTGGTAAAAGGGAATTAAAATGTGAGATCACCTCCCTGGGCTTACACTGAAAGAGAGTCTGGGTAGTAGGACACATTGTGCATTTCCCCACCCTTTTTAAGCCAAGAGACAATATTTTATAATCCTGATTCATTTCCTTCAGCATACAGAATTAAGGTAGCTTTTAAACTTAGAAACATGGCAAAACTTGGGCAAAAAATGGTGGTACCAATAGACTGTACTCCCAAACAGACACCTTGTCCAAAACTCTAAAGGGTGAAATGGTCACCACCCTAAATCAGTAGCAACTACCCATCTAGGCCAAATAAGCCACAGGTAATATCGTAGAAAGAACTGCTGAGAGGATAGGGCTCAAGCCCGACAATAACTTCTTTTGATGGTTGATAGAAAATCCATTTTACCTTGTATAATTTAATTGTAAATCAGATTCATAATAAACAATAAACTTAAGTTGTATATTTTTCAAGCCTCTTCTGATTCTCTTTATAAACTTTGCAAAACATTCACTTTTCTTTTTTTCTGTTTCTGGTACTTCAGTCCTTTGAGGGATTTTCTCAACGCATACCCTTTAATTTCCTGGGTCTTCCTGATGTACTCACTCTTATCAGCAACTGAATTAGCCTCTTGTTCTTACACTAAACCACTAGAATCATTCAAGTATAATTCATAACTAAAGGCTAATTTTTGTGCCAACAATTTCAAGGAAATACTTGAAACCGAAGTCACTATCTAATACAAAACTACTAAACACGGTATTGCTGTTGGAAATTTATTGATTATCACTCCAATGACATTCCAGTGAAGGTTTTGAAGGTTCAGTAAACCCCTCCCTGCAGCCTTTTGATATTCAAAATAGCTTATACTGACAGACCCAGTATATGTGAAGCAAGTGATTGGAACATTTACCCTTGCTTTTACTAAATTGGCCCTGTATTCTGCATTTACACCCATAAATATTTGTTGTGCCTCCCGGTGTACACAAACAAACTTACGAACAGCGAAGTAGAAAATCAGTGGTTTAATGAGCATTCACATATGACTGTTGCAAGACTCATACCAATATATTGTGCTCGTAACATATGTTTAAGATAAGGAAGGGAGTCTTAATACCATTGTAAGTGGAAAAATATAAGAAATAGAGCAAGATGGACGCTCGAAAATTCAGGAAGCTTAAAAATAACTGAACTTGCCGAGATTCCGAATCACGATAAGTGAAGTCACCCATGAACTTTTCATACATCACGCCTCCTGATGTCCAAAAGGTCCATTAAAAAAGTTCATTGAAACCTTCTCTTGATATTTCTACGCGGGAAAACTTAAAACCGAGCAAAACCTCATCGTCCTTCCATGTCTGCATTCTCCGCCATATTTGTTTTCAAAGCAAATTTGTACTCAGTCTCACTCGGCCGAATTTCTTAACTGGGGCGATCAACCGGGCGATGCATTCTCGTCCCCAGAGCCGCTTGGCCCTCTTAACCGTCGGAGACTGAGCACGAGGGCCGAAGGGCTCTGGGGACACAGAATCCGGAAGTCCTAGAATTTAGGAGTTCCGGTCGTTCTGCGCAAGCTCGACAAATCATAACGGCGGCCTCAGCAGACATTAAATTCAAGGAATCCTTGTTAACAGCTGCTGAGGCCGCCATTATGATTTGTCGAGCTTGCGCAGAACGACCGGAACTCCTAAATTCTAGGACTTCCGGATTCTGTGTCCCCAGAGCCCTTCGGCCCTCGTGCTCAGTCTCCGACGGTTAAGAGGGCCAAGCGGCTCTGGGGACGAGAATGCCGGGCGATCATGTAAACTCGGTTCCAGACCTCGCTGCCAGCCCCCCCTGGGAGCAACCTTAAATATGAGCGAGGAGAGCATTAAGATATGACATTACAGTTGCAGTTTCGTTTGTTTTGTTCAAAACTAAGTTTGAGAACGTTGTGGGATTTTGATCTAAAGAAGCTATCGACGCGAATATGATTTTATCACATACATTTTCTATTGTCGTGTTTATAAAAGAAGACAGCGACCACCCTTAAGGTGCACAACATTATGGTCGCTTATGGGAGGTGGTCGTTGTCTACGGGAAAAATCATGAAAATAAGCTCAAACTAAACTGATTAACTTAATTACATAAAGTTATTACCTTACAAGCTAAAACGCAGGTAGATAGACAACTGGCAATAATCACATATCGAATAGCGCTTGGAGCTGCTGAATTAACTTTGTAGATAACCTTTTGCACAATGTTACAATCCAAAAACTAGCCTGAGAAAATAGCCGACATTTGACGACGCCACCACTGGTTTCCCCGCGAAATGACGTTTGAGAAACGAGCGCAGAAATTCCATACTGATGACGCGTCACTACCCAGATCTGGGGAGTGCTTCTGATTGGTCGAGCCGCTTGTGAAATTTGCTTCAACCAATCAGGCTACTTTTTAACCTACAGATCGTAGAACAGCCATCGTTTTTTATAAATCGACTGCTATAATCTGTCAGTGCACTTGGTTAGCGCTATTAAAAACTAACAAAAGCTCAACTTATGGGACACTCCAGCCATGGTTTTCTTACAATCATACGTGATCATAGCGGGTGGTCGCTTATGGGAAACAGAAAACAAAAGAATATATTATTAAATTTCTGGTTTAAAAAGGGGTGTCAGTAAAACGCAGGGTCAATTCGTGGTCTACCTTTAATTTTTTAAAAAAAGAATGCTGTTTTACGGTTAGGGTTAGGGTTAGGGTTGGGTTAAGGGTTAGGGAAATATGAAACGGCAAACTGATCCTCACGGCAGAGCGAAGAAGTAACAAAAGAATAGACCAAAAATTTATATATACTTTAACAAATTGCCCAATATTTCGGTCTGAAAACAAACCTTCTTCAGAGGCTAGAAGAAAAATGAGAATAACACTAAAATCCAAAAAAAAAAATGAAAATGAAACTAAAAGTTCTAACAAATAACAATTTGAAAATGTGACGATAAAAACAATGGTTGGTTATTGGTACGGAAGACTAGGTGGTATCATATATCAGTGAGCTTCGTCACGTCTATTTATTCAGGGTTAGGGTTAAGGTTAGTGTCATCGCGATTTAATGATAAAAATGCTTTCTCGAAATTAAAAAAAATTTCCAGATTTCAGCTGTACGTACGAGCATATGTGTGTATATGGACCTACACGGCTCCTGGGTTAACCATTTTGTTTCTCACAAGGAGCGCAATAGGCTACTGTTCTCACTCGAATCGTAAACGACCACTACTTAAATTTCTAAACGACCGCGAAGCGTGTCAGGAAAAGGTGGGGTCGGGGTCGTTGTCTACCTTTTTTTAAAGAATGATGTTTTAGGATTAGTGTTAGGGTTGATTGAATATTGGTATATTTGCCAGTCTGAAGGGTTGATGACTCTCCACTGCTTGTAACTGTTCCTTGATGGTGTCACTGTTTTCCCCTTTTTTCCCGTAAACACTGTACTATAGGCCTCGATAGATTGTGCTCGCAAAAGTAGCATAATATGCTACTAGCAGTGCTCGTATATTTCTAAAATCATGCCAATAACTATGCTAATTTTTGTAAATTATGCTGGAGTGAGTCATTTTAGCAAAAACTGCAGAAATTGTGCTTGTTCTATTTAGGTTAAATTTGGTCAAAACATCTCAATAACAATAAACGAACACATTTATCCTATTAATTGCTCAACTGGCGGTTGGAACAATGTTGCGACCATTCAAAATAATGTCGCAACAATGTTGTAATGCTGTGTTGCGCTAAAAATCGTCGTTGCGAATCGTTCCTTGCAACATCGCCTTGACTATGGTGGGATCGAGAAAATTACTTTTGCCCAAAAGTGACTTAGCCTCCCCGCAGACGTCCGTTGGGGTTCGGTTGTTGTCACGCATTGGGGGAGAAATGAATGCGTGACAACAACCGAACCCCAACGGACGTCTGCGGGGAGGCTAAAAGTGACTAAGATGGGGTCTATTATTGGCCATCGCCGTTTCTTCCGACTCAACTGACCGCCCCTGGGTATACGAGGACAGTCTCCAGTTGGAGCCAAAATAATGTCCCCAATTAGTACTTTCGTGCTAAATGCATTGACACTCAAATAAAATGCAATTTTTTTCTTGCTGACCATGAAAGTTATGAACGCACTTCCTAAAAACTAAACCCACGAGGTTCTAACTTAAGCCAAAACAGGAACTCTGATGTAGGTAACAAACATAGTCAGCTATAACCCAAAAACGTGCTCACTTCAACGACTGACACTCAAATTTAATAAACGACACTATTATGTACAAAAAAACCCTTATAAGATAATAAAATTCAAAAACCTGTCTATACAATTACGGATTAACCTTGATATACAAACCTAATTATAACGAGACTCTTGCTAAGCACGAGTGAATTTTCAAGTGCAAACATAAAATCAGCTAAGTAAATACCACATGACAAAAATCTTCATAACAACCTAGAAAATTTTTCCCAACATTAAAGTGGGCAGTCTCTTGCGGACCTGTAAGACCTCATGTTGAAAATGGTGTGGTCTTAAATTTACAATAAGAAATTACTGATAAATCTATTGAGCAAATAGAGTTTTACATGAACCACTTCAACAACATACTAACAAAAACTGAAATCTTAAGAACATTTAAACAGGGGGGGGAGGGGGTCTAGAAAATTTAGAAAGTGGGGGGGGATCTGCTGGACACTTGCAAGCTATATATTATTAAGAATTCTTCAAGCAAAAATTGCAAATTTCACAGAAAAAAAGGAGGGCGCGATCTCCTCAGACCACCCCCTAAATCAACCCATGCATTATTTACATTGAAACATTATCCTTTTCCATCATTTACGTGCTGTTAAATATCTAGTTTGGCAATTCATAGGAAAGGTTTGACAATTTGACGTATCCAGCAATGTCAACGTGGAAGGGAAATCCTTTTTCTGCTTGTTTATCATTTCCCGGTAATTACTAGAAAGTGAATTTTGCATGTGCTACCTTAAAAATATTCTTACTAAATGATAGAAAGCAAGTCTTTGCTTGGTTATCTTTGAATCCAGAAATGATATGCATGCAGATCTAAGCTCTGTAGCTCTCTGTTATCTCAGCGAAAGATAAAGATTTCCTTTGATGGCCTTCTGCTCTTCTCCAAGAGAGGACTCTTGAGCAAAAATTCATTCAGTAAAAAGTTACCAAAACTCTAATTTTACTAATTACAAAAATGAATGTGAATATTTATTATTGACATCTACAAAGTCGACAGCCACTTCCCGACTTCTTCTTTCTCTCCTTTGCACCTTAACAAGAAAACAAGAAAGGCATCATATAGAAGCCAAAACTACCCAACATTTGTTGCCCTTGTATCTCATTGCGCGAAGCACTTGCCTTATTTATATTTTCAACTTTAAGGATTTAAAGAAAGAAAAGAAAGAGAATAGGTTTAAGCAAGAGATCATAATTGTCTTTATAATATTGGTCTAAGGGAGTTTATTATTGTGTCTTTAATTTTGAAGCAGGCGCTAGGGAAAAGTGTTTAATCTGTAATTTTACAAAATGCGCGCACTTATATGTGACCAAATTTGGACAGTTTGATGCCAAATCTGGCTGTGACGTCACCAGGGCACGGTCAATGTCAAGTGACCCAATTTAGAAAATTGAGGTTTTACTCAGAAACGTACATTTTGGCTCATAACCTTAGTATTACCGTGATCCTTATCAAATGATTGTGGTAATACTGATGATGATGATGATGATGATGATGATGATGATGATCAGAGCATCAAAGGGGTACTGTGGTGAATTGTAACCTCGCAAAGAAAGCAGTGACATACTCCCATATAGTGCACATATTTCAGTGAACAATCCGAGATCACATTACACAAGTAATAATAATAATAATAATGATAATAATAATAGTAATAATATTTAACACTTTTACAGCGCATTTTAACATAGTGATTTGAACAAATGTGCATACACAAGAATGAGACTTACAAAGCCTATATTATACTACCGGTTCTAATAACTGAAATTATTGACACTTTCAATTGCTACATCAATAATTTAGCATTACTAAAAACGAGCAAAAGATAAAGAAAAAAAAGAAATGAAAGTTGAAAGTAAAAGAACCTCTGATAACTCAACCAAGTCGCTGTACGCTTCTATAAATAGCAAAAAAACATATCGAAATTCTTCCCTTTCCTAATGTAGTCCGGTAAGACGTTCCATATCTTTGGAGCAGCTGCAGTAAATGATTAAGGGCCCATTATAAGGTAGTATCCTTTATAGCAGATGTTACTTAACTTTAATGTTTCCCGCTTCTCGTTTGGCTAATATAACTTAAGCTGTTATGCATCAGTCAATTCCACCTGCGCCCAGCCCCGCCCCCCCCCCCCCGGGCTGACCCCGGGGCATTGGCATTTTTCTTGCCCTGGATGGAAAATTCCCGGGGGTGGGGACTCTTGAGCTGTCAAATCCCCCGGGGTGGGGACGAAAAAAAGACGGCAAATGCCCCGTCCTCCGTCGACGCTGCAACATTTTTCATTGATCGCACAGTCGAATAGCGCCATTTTAAGCATTTTTATTTTCGATTTTTTTGTTTCAGTTAAGGTCTTCCTTTGTAATAGTGCTAGGATTCTAACGACGCGCTAGGATTTTAACGATTCTGACGACGACATGCACCAGTTTATGGTTTTAGTATTGATATAAAATTATTGACATTAAAATTAATAGAGCGCTGTAAACTTATATGTTTTGAATATTTTTATAAATATGAAAGGATGTTCTTCAAAAAATATTGACAGCAATTTGATCCAATTACCAAAAAACGTTGATTCACATCGATAGCTCCAGTTTCGCTAAGTAATTTTGATAAGCAATGAAGAAATGCATGAATAAAATCGAGAACATGCCTTTACAACCCTCTTCAATTTATTCCTGTCCTTGACAGATGAGCCAATCTCTATCTGCGTTTTTTCCAGTAAAACCCTCTGTGTAGTTATATTCTGATAGGAAACCGCGTGGGTGTGAAAAGCTCGCGAATTGCCCTGGTGTTAGCAAATGCCCGACCCCCCGGGCAGTGTAAAATTTGCAATTGCCCCACCCTCGGTACTGACAAGGCGGGCAAAGGGCCCGCAGTAGCCCTGGGGTGGGGGGAGGCAAGGCGCAGGTGGAATTGACTGATGCATTACATATGTTGGTGACGCAAGGATAAAAAAGCCAACGGGAAGAAAAGAAGAGAAGGCAAAAAGAGAACTGAAGAACCACAGTAGAAGTAGAAAAAAACGACAGACAAGGTGATGCAACTGAGGCACAGTAGCCTGTGTATAGCTAACCACTCCCTTTAAACAAATTAGGGAGCTTAAGCAAAGGCGTTTTTGAGCGACGGACATCAACCGGAAGTGAACTTTTTGCCGTTCATGGGAAGTGGTTGTGCCCAAATTTTCGGGCAGATTGTCTCTATCAGAGTAAAGAAATTTAGCAATACAAATTTGTTATAAGCATCAAGACATATTAAAGGCCTTACTTCCAGTTGACGTGCGTTTCTCAAAAAGGTCTTTGCTTTAGCTCTGTTTTGTTTGAGGGGAGGGGTGGCTAAAAACAGGCTAGATCACAGCAACAGCAGCAGACAAAGACAGATATTGGGGATCAAAGGATCAAAATATCTCACCATCCATAGATGCAAAGCTGTCGGATATGTGATCCTCTTCCTGTGAATCCAGGTAACCATCTCCCTCAGATGACACATCACTATCAGCACCTGAACCTTTCTTAGCCATTTGTCCAGCATTGTGTTTGTCTCTCTTAGCTCTTTTGTCTGTGAAAGAAAAGAGTAGTAAAGCTTATAATGCACAAGATACGAGAAAAGTCAAACGTTGACCATAACATATACTTTTTAAGCGACCTAAAATAGGTGCGGCCAAATTACCCATTTTATCCACCGGCAAATGGCTGTTGCCCACGGGGAAGCGGCTTTTTGTGTGACCGTTTTTCCCAAGGTGAAATTCAGTGCCTCGGGGAACTGGGTACTGGGTTTGCCTGGGCTGAAAGCCTCCTTGACACCATGAGAGGCAAACAATGTTTGGATCTTGAGGTTAGCAAAATTGAAAATGGCTTTAATAAATCGCGGTGTTAAGCTCCATTTGTAGTTTGTCCGACTGATATGCAGCCCCAAATCGGAAATTGTGTTTGCCTGAAAATTTCTTTTTGGATGTAGCTGACTTTTGACCTACACCACTTTTCTCTGAGACAATCATCCAAACGCGGATTTTGCCTTTCTTTACTAAAACTAAAAACACACTCCCAATAGATTGGTGATAGATTATATCTAAATCCGCATTTATACATTCACAATTAATGAGTTTGTTTGGCCATGGGTCCAAAAAAATTACACCTGTCGAGCATTCTACGTTATTGCAGGCGTTTCACACAAATATTTTTGGAACGCTGAAGAATCCGTCTCTAGGTTTTTACTCACGTTCCCTTTGTCGCGTCAAGTCCAAAGACTGTAAGATTGTGCAACGATTAAACCTTTAGTTATCGGATTATTTCTAAAAGAAATGCGCCCTTGATTAAAACCGTTAAAATTTAGCAGGAGGAGACATTTGTAACTTAACAATGATTTGTGCTTTACCGTTCCTACTACTGCCTTTATCATCATCCTCATCGTCATCATCTTCTTTCTTGGATTGTGAAAAATGCCTTTCAGCTTCATGAGTAATCTGCAAGGACTAACAGGTTTTTTTCATTAGAAGAAACTTGAAGATACGGAAAGCAGAAATAGAGTGTAAACAGAAACTGTTACAGTCAAACCTAAATTAAGAGATGTCTTACCAACGTCCAAGACATCGATTCCTTGATTAATATAAGTAAAACGTTATGGAGTTTATCAAATTAAAATCATTTATAAAGACTATAAGAATTTCATATATTGGAACTGCAAAAGAAAAAATGCAAAGACGATATCGATCCTCGCGGTTTAAGACGCATCTTATGCTGCTGTGAAAAAAAAAAAAAGAAAACTTCAGCCTTTTAAATTTAACACAACACCAACGCGATAAGCCTCAAAGACTGCGTAAAATCTATCTAGAAGAAATATAATTTCCATAAATAAGTTTTTTGCGTCCGTTAGCAGTCCTTCGTGTACCTTATTTGGTGATTTGTTGAGCCAGTGCTTGTCTGCTCTAATGGCCAGAGCACGTTGCTGATACTCCTTGGCTTGCTCAAAGTCACCTAAATCCTTGTAAATCAAAGCTAAATTATTATAACTTGTTGCAACATCAACATGCTCCGGGCCGAGCTTGTCCAGTTGAATGTCCAGAGCACGTTGCTGATACTCCTTGGCTTGCTCAAAGTCACCTAAATCCTTGTAAATCAAAGCTAAATTATTATAACTTGTTGCAACATCAACATGCTCCGGGCCGAGCTTGTCCAGTTGAATGTCCAGAGCACGTTGCTGATACTCCTTGGCTTGCTCAAAGTCACCTAAATCCTGGTAAATCGAAGCTAAGTTATTGTAGTTTCTTGCAACATTAACATGTTCCGGGCCGAGCTTGTCCAGTTTAATGTCCAGAGCACGTTGCTGATACTCCTTGGCTTGCTCAAAGTCACCTAAATCCTGGTAAATCGAAGCTAAGTTATTGTAGTTTCTTGCAACATTAACATGTTCCGGGCCGAGCTTCTCCAGTTCAATGTCCAGAGCACGTTGCTGATACTCCTTGGCTTGCTCAAAGTCACCTAAATCATGGTAAATCGAAGCTAAGTTATTATAACTTGATGCAACATTAACATGTTCCGGGCCGACCTTGTCCAGTTCAATGTCCAGAGCACGTTGCTGATACTCCTTGGCTTGCTCAAAGTCACCTAAATCATGGTAAATCGAAGCTAAGTTATTATAACTTGTTGCAACATTAACATGTTCCGGGCCGAGCTTGTCCAGTTGAATGTCCAGAGCACGTTGCTGATACTCCTTGGCTTGCTCAAAGTCACCTAAATCCTTGTAAATCAAAGCTAAGTTATTGTAGTTTCTTGCAACATTAACATGTTCCGGGCCGAGCTTGTCCAGTTTAATGTCCAGAGCACGTTGCTGATACTCCTTGGCTTGCTCAAAGTCACCTAAATCCTGGTAAATCGAAGCTAAGTTATTGTAGTTTCTTGCAACATTAACATGTTCCGGGCCAAGCTTGTCCAGTTCAATGTCCAGAGCACGTTGCTGATACTCCTTGGCTTGCTCAAAGTCACCTAAATCCTTGTAAATCAAAGCTAAGTTATTGTAGTTTCTTGCAACATTAACATGTTCCGGGCCGAGCTTGTCCAGTTCAATGTCCAGAGCACGTTGCTGATACTCCTTGGCTTGCTCAAAGTCACCTAAATACTTGTAAATCAAAGCTAAGTTATTATAACTTGATGCAACATTAACATGTTCCGGGCCGAGCTTGTCCAGTTCAATGTCCAGAGCACGTTGCTGATACTCCTTGACTTGCTCAAGGTCACCTAAATCCTTGTAAATCGAAGCTAAGTTATTGTAGTTTTTTGCAACATTAACATGTTCCGGGCCGAACTTGTCCAGTTGAATGTCCAGAGCACGTTGCTGATACTCCTTGGCTTGCTCAAAGTCACCTAAATCCTGGTAAATCAAAGCTAAGTTATTATAACTTGTTGCAACATTAACATGTTCCGGGCCGAGCTTGTCCAGTTCAATGTCCAGAGCACGTTGCTGATACTCCTTGGCTTGCTCAAAGTCACCTAAATCCTTGTAAATCAAAGCTAAGTTATTATAACTTGTTGCAACATTAACATGTTCCGGGCCGAGCTTGTCCAGTTGAATGTCCAGAGCACGTTGCTGATACTCCTTGCCTTGCTCAAAGTCACCTAAATCCTGGTAAATCAAAGCTAAGTTATTGTAGCTTGTTGCTACATCAACATGCTCCGGGCCGAGCTCTTGAAGCTTAAAAGTGAGTGAATATTGAAAATATGTTTTTGCTTCTTCGAATTCACAGTGCATTTTACAAACACCTCCAAGGTTTTCGCATTTTTCGGAAATCTCCTTATCATGAACTTGAAAGAAATTATCTCGCAAAAACACTTTGTCAGTTACCATAATTAAAGCTTTCAAATGTGGAGCGATGTGTCTGGTGTTTAGTTGCTTATCCTGTGGTGGAGTTGCGACGATAAATTCGCTAAATGATGTAATGACCCCACTAACGACCTCATCGGTTTGGCTTTCTGCCGACTCTTTTGCTACAGTTTTTATAGCATCATGCACAACCTGGTGAAGTCCAATAAAAGAGCCACCCTCGTCATCTTGGAACAGCAGAAGTGAGCTTCTTTTTAATCTCATGCGAATTAATTCTTTGTCTGCTTCATCAAACTCTTCATGTGCGTTCATGATGTAACTAACTGCTATGTCCACGTTTAATGGCCGTGGAGCGCAGAGGGCAAGAAAAGTGAAAAGGTGTTTTTGAACTTTGTCGGATCTCATCAGTGTTTCGACGGCTAACGTTATTGCTTTGGTCATTGAATTTGGATAAATTGGATTGGTGTCGACAAGTGTATTTTCTGTTTTCTGTCTTTTGCCTTTTTCTAAGATCTTCAGGTATTCCTCCCACCCAAAATGCGTAGATACTTTGTCCTGCCGAATCTCTTTAACAAAGACGGCAGCGCCTGCTAAAGCAAGAGGTTGATAGTCCAGTCTTTGTGCTACTGTTCCTAATAGCTCGCTATTTGGGATACCAGAAAGCTTAGACAATAATGAACGGGCATCATCGGGCTCCATACCTTGGCTTACTGAAATGTGATTAACGAAAGAGCTTTTTGAGGGAATTGACGTTGTGTCCTGCGTCGTAATGAGCAAATGGCCTCTTTCCCAAGCCTTTGAATTAAACTGTGGTAAATGGACATGCACAGATGACATGGTAGTGACATTGTCAACCACCAATAGCCACGACGAGTAACAGGTAATTTTTACAGCGACAAGCATCTTAAGACTAGTGATCTTTTCGTCGACAGTCGAGTCCTTTGAGCTGATGGTTTCCACAATTGAATAGTCTGGGCACTTTAAGTGGCGAGCAAATGAGGCATACGACTCCAGAAGTGAATCTGGACTTGCAGCATTTAATGTCATTACAAATGAAGACCCACCTGGCATTTCTTTGAGGTCTTCAAAGAATCTCTCAGCTACAAGGCCAGCTAGCTGTGATTTGCCGCTTCCAGGATTCCCTGAGATGTAAAGATAACTCAACCTGTTGTTACCGGACTCATTTAGTTCCCTCAGCTGTTGGACTATTTTTGCTACTTCACTTTCACGACCACCGATTTCATGCGAAGGTTTAGGAGGGAGAACACAGAATGAGGGTGCTTTATTTTGGAGCTGATCTTCAAGGACCTGGCGCTGACTCTCTTTTTCTTGAACTTCTTGTTTTAGATTATCAACTTCTTTTGTTGGAAATGTTTTGTGATATTTTAGGTTTTGAATTTTTACAGTGGGAAGACTAAGAGCTTGAAACGCAACATCAACTTTGCTAATAGCATTCTGAAAATCTATCTCAGAGAGACTACCTTGTGGCATGTGAGCGAATGCTTCATTCCTGAACTTTCGTAGATCATTTACATTTTTTCTGACCAGTGCGTTAAGACCTGTCCCGACGCAATCGGAGAAAAGGATGGAGTAAAAAAAGCATTGTACAATCCCATTCCACTCTGTTTCCGTTTTTCATAGTTGCCAAAAGATGAGCGTTTCTTTTGATTTCGAGGAGACTCTCCGTTATAAAACTCCATTCCATTACGAAGCTCGTCTTTCCATTCTCCTGTTGTTGATTTGTACAGTTTGTCCCATTCTTGTTTAAATATCTCTCTCAGACCCTCCGCTAGAATATCAGTGGTTACATAGCAAATTCTGTAATAGTTCAGCTGTTCATCGGTATATTCGTTTAAAGAGGCCATATTTGATGCACCTCCGATGCTTGGAACCTTTAAGGAAAATGAATCCTGCAATTAGCAAATTAGTTCAGAGGGGGAAAAATCATCAGTGACGTAGATAGCGCGGTCTATGAAGTAAAAACATTTACTTCTGACACAAGCATGTCAGGGCATACCCAAAACCCAAATTTGCTAGTATATCAGTAGTTGGGTAACAAATTCTGTAATAGTTTAGCTGTTGCTCGGTATATTCTTTTGAAGATGCCATAGTTGATGTGCGTCTGATGATTCAATCTTTGGGGAAAGATTTTCTCTGCAATTAGTGACAACATACGCTATAAGCTATATAGGTGTGTCCTACAAACGGTATGGTTTTTTTAGCCGTTTTGGTCTCATTAAAACGGATCAGCCCATTAGAGTCTTAAAATGGGTACCGTTTTCAATGGAGCAACAAGAGGTTATAGTTTGGATCAATTTAGTTTTCTGGGAAACTGCCCACCTACCCCTCCCCTAAGTCATCATTTTGCCCTAAGTGAGAAGTAAGTGTTAATGTTAGCTTGGGGGAGGGGTAGGTGGGCAGTTTTTCAGAAACCTAAATTGATCCAAACTTATTCAGAGTCAGATACTAATTTTCGTTTTGCGTGCTTTGCCTCAAAAACACCGGCTTTGTGCAGTGCTATTCCCTTGGCTCCCGTAAAAAATGTTGCACGCTTGTGTTTAATTTTGCTTTATTCAGTAATTTTTGTTTTGCGTGCTTTGCCTCACAAACATCGGGTTTGTGCAGTACTTTTCCTTCGGCTCCCGTAAAGTCAGTTACACGCTTTTGTTGCGCTTAGCTTTAGTCAGAACTTTGTTTTGCGTGTTTTGCCTCACAAACACCGGGTTTGTGCAGTGCTACTCCATCGGCTCCCGTCAAGTTCGTTGCATGCTTGTGTTTATTTTGCTTTATTCGGTAATTTTTTGCTTTGCGTGTTTTGCCTCACCAACATCGGGTTTGTGCAGTGCTTTTCCCTTCGGCTCCCCCTTTGGTTTTCTTTGCTTTATTCAATTTGCTTTTGTTATGCGTGCTTTGCCCAACAAGCTCCGGTTTGTGCAATGATTTTTTCCCCGGCTCCACTTGAATTTGCACGCTTTTGCTTTGTATTATTCGGTTTTAAGTTTGGGTTCTACGTTCTTTCCCTCACTAATTTAATCTTCCTTCGATTCCCGTAAAGTTGGCTCATCACTTTTGTTGCATTTGTGCCTTATTTGGTCAATCTGTTCGGCGTGTTTTATTTTACACTTATTTCCTCGGCCCCTGTAGATTTTGAATGATAATGTTGCATTTTTCTGTAATCTGGTACGCGAGTTTCGCCACGCGGCCTCCTGTTCTGCGGGTTTACTCCCTTGTCCCAGTGTATTTGCATCCATGTGTTCCTAGTTGTTTTTCTATTCTTTTAGTTTATCTGTGCTATTCGTTCCTCGCCTTTTCTGTCGTCATTTCATATGTTTTTCTTCATGCGATTCCGTGGTAGCCTGAAAGGGTATCTTATGCCCTAGTCGGATTGCTGACGCTCAGGCTGCCATCCCTTGGTGGGTTTTTCTCGAGTCTTCTCTGCGCCTTAGGTTTCCTTTTTACCTTGGACCTTTATCTCCAGTTTATTTGCTTGTTGCCACTCAAGGGTTGGCAGCCAAGAGACTATAAAGGGGACAGAGAGGACATCCCCCATATACACCCTATTCCATAGGTAATTCGTCTCGAGTTACTTTTAGAATCGGGATAAAGTTACCTCGCGCGAGGCGTGGATGTTTCGTGGAGGTTTCGCATGACCAAACGCCGTGCAAAACATGTCGAGCGAGAGGCAATGAAAGCGTAAAAAGATCGAGAGCCCTTCCTGAATGTTGAAGCGAAATGAGTCGGCGCTCACCTGGGAAAAAGGAATCGCTGGACTCTTTGACAACCCGTGAAATCAGTTTAACTCGAAGTTGTCGTAACCTCAGTGCCTTAATAAAATGAGAAATTTCGCCGGTCTATTGAAACCGGTCGTTTGTACAATTTAGGGAGTTTAAGATCCAACGACGCGGACGACAACTAGAACGTCAAAAAACAATAGGTTTAATTAGCAAAACAACAACTTCGCACGTGCAACACACTTTTTTGTTCATTTCTTTCCCGTTTTTGCACGACTACGACGTGAAAATGCCTAATTTCGCGTTTTATGGAGGACGTAAGTAAGCAACTTTCTCTTTTTGAGCTTGAATATGGTCCCTTGAAATTCAGCTTTAGGAGAGTTCGCCTACAATTGACAAAGTAAGTGGGTAGGAATAATCGCTATAAAGACTGAAAAAAATAAACATCAAACCAGAAATTGCTCTCTTCAAACTGTAAATTATAAATGATCCTGAGAGAATATTCAGTGTGTTAAGGATTTCCCTGCTCTATACGAGAGAGGAAGGGCGATTCTTTTTTAATTTCGGTTTCGCTGACACAGCTTTCGCAGAAATCTCGCTGTAGTCGTTTTCGTCGACAAAAGGAATAGCAAAATCGCTCTCCGCGTCTTCTCCCATTTTGTTCTGCTTCATCTCGTGAAGGACGCGTGGCTCTCAGCGTGGGTCATCCATGCGGAACACATTCGCGCTATGTGATTGGCTGTTGTCTAATCCCCCTCGAGATCTGTTGTGTTAAAAGTAACTCGAGACGAATTACCTATGGAATAGGGTGTATATGGGGGATGCCCTCTCTGTCCCCTTTATAGTCTCTTGTTGGCAGCCTATTCGTGTTTTACCACACAGTCCTTTTGGTATTCCCTGAAATACCTCCTTGCCTAGCTCTCAACAAGTATCAACAGTCTAGTTGTTTCACTATACTTTGAGTTTACGAGTACTTTTGTTTCACCCCTTCACCTTTAGTGTTGGAGAGCTGGGTTTTTTCTTGTTGAGTTTTAGGACCTGGGTTTGAGTTTGTTTTGGCAGTGTCTGGGTTCTTTAGGACGTACCTAACGTTCAACTTCTTGGCGCGGTTCCATTTCTCCGTCTCTTATTCAGCGAGCGTGGAAGGGACTGTCGCGAATAGTATGCTATTTGCGCCAGTCCCTTGCAACGCGAGTATAAATAAGAGTTCCGCATCTCATTTCTACCCAGTCCGCGTAAGAATCCTTTGGCTGCTGGCAGCCGTGATCATGAATTGTTTGTCTCTCCCTTTCACGTATCGCACCTTGTGCGGCCGCGCTTCTCTTTTCCCTCCCTCGATCCCTTCCCTGTCCTTTCCACTTCCAACTCACTCAAGTGCGGTTCCATTTCTCCGTCTCTTATTCAGAGAGCGTGGAAGAGACTGTCGCGAATAGTATGCTATTTTTTTTTTTACACACAAAGCGTGGGTGGAGAGCAAAACACGCACGGCTGGTAAAGCGCTTTCTCGCGTTCCGCGCTCGCCTCGTGCATATCTTCACTCGCCTAAAAAACGTGTTCTGCAGGCTACTTTATATTCAGTTTCCATTTCCAATTTAGTAGAATTTAATTTACACTAGAAATATTTTAACTACACTAAGGCCGAATACTTGTAGGACATAACTATGCAAAACAGTCCGTCATGCTTCATCTGTAGAGCCTCTAGATGAAGATTAAAAAGTTTCGGTGGTAAACGAACGATCAGAACATAAAAAGCTTATGGCTTTTGGTTTCTTTTGAAACGTTTTACAAAGATCTAGAGAGACTTAACGTCAAAAGTTACTTCTAATTGCGCAATAGTTCTTTGGTATTGGCTCTACGTTATTGCCGCAGGTCGAGGCGTGTTTTCACTTCATTTTGCTTCCAGAAAGTTCCAAAACCAGAGCTTACTTCGGCAGCTCGAATAATGGACCGAAACAGTAAAAATGGTCACAAAAAGGCTATCATTGCTTACCATTTGCTGCGAAACCCTCCGTTCGACGTTCTTTTGAACAGTTTCATGCTTTAAATAACCGACAAGGAAACTTTCCGCATCATTCAATTCCTACCATGTAACTGAACCATCATGCCATTTTTATACAAATTAAAGGTTTTTTTGACCGCGTGTAGAAACACGGCTGCTTATTGCATTAGTCATCTTACCGTTTGGAACTCCTGACTCAGGCAGCAAATTTCGAAGAAACCAAGTCTTTATAAGGTATCATGCAGCTTCCGCTGGAATGACGAAGGGAAACAGGCTGTCAAAACGAAAGCGGAATGTTTTAAGGTGTGATGACTATTTTTATTTTCATCATTATTCCTTTCAAATATGCATTACTAACCAAGCGTGAAGTCAATACGACTGGATATATATGGCCAAATTCCTGTTTTTGAATTTTGTTAGACTTTCTAAAAGTCCTCTATTTTTTCCTGGTTGGTTATGCCACGAGACTTCTTCGCTCGGTCGCTGCGCGACATCATGCATTGAAGCTCCCTTCGCTCACTGTTAAGAACTTATGAGAGGTAGACTTGTAGCAAGTCTACCATTGTGTTTACCGATAAGAAGTCGGGGCCAATGAAAAAAAAGAACGACGCCAATATACGCCACTTGCCCTTCTCCCATAATGCACCTTATTTGTCCCCCAAAATTTTGCATAAGCATTATTTTCAATTTGTCTGAGGACGGCTGTAATATCCAAGAGAAATAAAAAACAACCTGAAAGGTTATGCAAAATTTTGGGGGGCAAATAAGTTGCATTATGGGAGATGTGGAAGTGACGAATCCAGCTATCTTGACCGAACAAGCTTGGTCAATAAAGTATTTATTTTACTGCCAAATTATCGTGTTTCTGATTCACAACGGTTTGTCTTGCTGTTATTTAGTATTTTACGAGTAGGCAGGGCCACCAAGACTCTAATTTATCCCATTTTCTAGCTTACCCCTCCCAGCGTCCTTAGCTCAACGCTAAACGATGCCATGGTCTTTCTTTCTTCTGCTCGCAAACCTTCGAGCAACTAACTGTTAAAGCAACTGAGGAAGGAAACCATTTTAGATTTCCGAAACCGGTCTTGCTATTTAAAACAGTTTTAAATTAACCGCCCTCTGGTTGGCTCAGTTGGAAGTGCGCCGGTCTGCTGAGCGGGAGGTCACGGGTTCGAACGCTGGCCGGAACAACACTCAGGGACTTTAAATAACTGAGAAAAAAGTGCTGCCTTTCTAATGACATCTGCAAACAGTTAGACTTTCTAGTCTTCTCGGATAAGGACGAAAAACCGTAGGTCCCGTCGCACAGCACTAACACTTATCTGGCTCTTGCGGTACGGTACGTAAAAGAACCCACACCACTGTTTGAAAGGAGTAGGGGACGTAGATCCCGGTGTTCTGGCCAACCCTCACACATCACATCATGGGTTAGGTGGGTACAGTAAGCTCATAAATGGACTGAGAGTGGCTGCCAGTGGCGCCTTTGTATGCTGACGTCCGACCTTACCGTTCACATGTTAAAATATATTGTAGGAGGGCACGTCTGTTGTTCTCTCATACACGACTCTTCACTCTTTCACTCATGCATTCATTCATTCATTCATTCATGGTCCACCACGCGATACTATCGCACGCAGTCGCTTTCGGTTTCTCCAAACACACTTGAGACGCCTAGGAACGAGGCAGTTTATCTAATCATCTCGAGTACTGACCGCTTTAAGACTAACAGAAATCTACTATGCATATCTTCACTCGCCTAAAAATCGTGAAAAAATGAAGCCTGTTCTGCAGACTTCCCTCTCCAATTCAATAGGATTTACTTTACACTAGAAATCTTTTAGCTAAACTTAGGCCGAATACTTGTAGGACTTAACTATATATGGAAAACAGTCAGTCATGCTTCATCTGTACAGACTCTCGATGAAGATTATAGAGTTTCGATGGCAAACGAACGATCAGAATATAAAACTTATGACTTTCGGTTTCTTTTTGAAAAGTTTAACAAAGATCTAAAGAGAGTTAACGTCAAAAAGTTCCTTCTAATTGCGCAATAGTTCTTTTGTACTGGCTCTACGTTATTGCCGCAGGTCGAATTAAGCTTGGTTTCACTTCATTTTGCTTCCAGAACGTTCCAAAACCAGAGCTTAGTTACTTTGGCAGCTCGAATGATAGACCGAAACAGTAAAAAATGACCACAAAAAGGCTATCATTCCTTACCATTTACAGCGAAAGTCTCCGTTCAACGTTCTTTAACTTTTAAACAGTCTCATAGTTTGAATAAGCGACATGGAAGCTTTCCGCATTATTTAATCCTATCTTAATAAACTCTTCCAATTGGCAGTGTTTTTCCCGCATAAATGCTTATGTCAGTACCACATAGAAAACACACAAAGGGTAATGGGCAAAATTCTGGTGGCAGGGAAGCGCTTAAATCTAGGGATAAGGGGACCAGGAGAGAAGCCCTCCTGGGGGGAGACAAGATCGAGTGGTACCGGGGGTAGCCACCCTGGACAGGAGTCCTGATCAGTCTCCGGGGGTGAGGCCCATATCCCCCAGTACAGGAACTGAGGGGAACCAGGAGGGGTGGCCCTCCTGGGTGGAGTACAGATCAGGTGGGACCGGGGGTCCACACCCTGGAGTGGATATTTTTCCGGACCTGTCTCCAAGGGCTAAGCCTTACTGTGGGGTAAAGTGCAGCCAGGGGTTGCACTTCCCTGCCACTCCTTTTATTTGGAAGCCAGACAGCAGTTTCATATCCCAGGAACCTAATGAAGGAATGAGACCTAGTCGAGTATAACACCATAATATAAATGATTAATCTTAAGGATACATATATATATATATATAGGGGAATAAGGTAATGATCTGCTTAAAATATGTTCTGGTCGTGCTAAATACTGCTACTCTGCTACTCTGCCAGCCCATATTGGAATATGCTCCTAGAGGTACTTAGAACTGCTGCATCATTACATGTTTTCAAATCAAAAAATTAAGAGCATTAATAATTGATAATAAATGCTGCTCCTTTGTACTTAGTTTTAATTATCACTAGGTACTGTAGACACACTGTATAAAATAATTGTCTTGTTTCTGCATTATCGTAAATTGTACATAATATATAGTATTACTTTGTTCTAATTACCATTGTCATTTATATTCTATTTGTTTTGCTATACCTTCGGAGATATGAGCATTAGTTGATGCTATCTTTTGGAATGCGAAGTGAGATAAAGATTTTGATTTGGTGTGAAATATATAGGGCACATAAGAAATAATCGAAGAACTGAACAAAGGTTCCAGTCAGAACAAAGGGGTGGGTGGGAGGGAAACACGCTGTTGTGAATGAACCGAAGCTCTAAACGAACTGACTGGGAAAGGACAGTGTACCGCAAAAAGAGGAGCACATGTGCATGATAAGCATGTGATAATATGAATGGAACCTTTGTGGAGTCTAGGAATATATCATGCTACATTACAGTGGACTTTGCCAAAGAAGGAGGATACATTGTAATCAAACAACTACTTAGTGTTCATTGTTCTTTCTTGTACTTTGAACTAGTATCTACCATTACTGAGTACAAAAGCTTATACAAATGTTGCACGTTGTGTGACATAAGAACCAAGATATGATTGTTGCTAGTATGCCCTAAGTGTGCTTTCATAGGGCATCATTCTCAGGTTTATTAACAACAGTTTATGCTACCATAAACTTGAACATGTAACTGAACATGCCATTTTTTATACAAAGTAAAGGTTTTTCACCGCGAGTAGAAATACGGCAGCTGATTGCCTTATTTTTCTTACAGTTTGGAACTCCCGACTCAGGCAGTAATTTCGAAGATATTAATTCTTTATAAGGTATCGTTTGAGCTTCCGCTGGAATGACGAAGGGAAACAGGCTATCAAAACGAAAGCGGAATGTTTTAAGGTGTCAGGACTATTTTTATTTTCATCATTATTCCTTTCAAATATGCATTACTGACCAAGCGTGAGGTGGTCAATACGAATAAATATATGGCCAAATTCCTTTTTTTGCATTTGTTAGACTTTCTTAAAGTCCTTTATTTTTTTCCTGCTTGGTTATGCCACGTTCGCTCGCTGCGCGACCTCATGCATTGAAGCTCGCTTCGCTCACTTTTAAGAACTTATGAGTGGTCGCCTTGTAGGAATCCTAGCATTGTGTTTACCGATGCGAAGTCAGCCACTGAAAAAGAACGACGCCACTTGCACATCTCCAATAATGCACCTAATTTGTCCCCCGAAATTTTGCATAAGCATTATTTTCAATTTCTTTGGGACGGCTATAATATCCAGGAGAAATGAAAAACAACCTGAAAGGTTATGCAAAATTTTGGGGGCAAATAAGGTGCATTATGGCATGGGAGATGTGGAAGTGACGAATCCAGCTATCTTGACCGAACAAGCTTGGTCAATAAAGTATTTATTTTATTGCCAAATTATCGTGTTTCTGATTCACAACGGTTTGTCTTGCTGTTATTTAGTATTTTACGAGTAGGCAGGGCCACCAAGACTCTAATTTATCTCATTTTCTAGCTTACCCCTCCCAGCGTCCTTAGCTCAACGCTAAACGTTCCCATGGTCTTTCTTTCTTCTGCTCGCAAACCTTCGAGCAACTAACTGTTAAAAAGCAACTGAGGAAGGAAACCATTTTAGACATCTGCGTAGGTTGGAGGCTTATTAAAATAAATTTCCTGAAAATTTTACGACTACGAAAAATATAATGCGTTACATGTATTTGCTGGTCCAGGAGGATTCTTTTTCCTTTCGATAAATTACATGTAACAAACTATTCTAGGCCCCAGTAAACAGTTTTTGTGTCTCAAAATTCTTCCACTATCCCGTACACAAAATAATTGGATTTTTTATGCATGAGCCAACATGCACAGAAGGTCATCACCTTGCCGATATTTGGCAGGCATCACTTTCACTTCCTGTTCTCTCCCCACTCTCCCACTTGTCCTCTAAAACAGGACAGTGAAGCCTACGGAGGAGGCTACATGTAAGTCACACTCTAACATCACCCCCCTGGTAAGGGTTTTTTATTTGTAAGAAACTGAACGTGAAGCTAAGCTCACATCAGCAGCCTTTTTTTGCACTTTCTGTCTGTAACTTTCAGCTTCTCTCTGAACTTGCTCATCTAAACGAAACTTCTCATCTGGACTCTTCTCTTCTCTGTAATTTGTAACAAAAGGAAGAACAAAAGAGAAATGTCTTTTATAATCACAATAATTGGTCTGAAATAACATCCCCAGCTAAGTGTATTATCAGCCTACAGCCTTGATGAATAGTGTCCTCCTTGAGCTGCATAATCTCATAAAAAATTCATACACTTTGTACAAAAGCAGAACTCATACAAAATTTCCAAGTTCATAGCATAATAATTACTACATGTAATTATACTAATTAACAAACAATAATAATAATAATAATAATAATAAATACTTAATTATCCTCTCCCCCTCTGGGGCTTTTCAGGGATAATGAGACAAATAATTCAAGTTGAACATAATACAAAGTTAAGAATCCTAACTGGTAAAAGGTGAACCAGTTGGCTATTTCACAAATGTTGCTGGGGATTATGAAGTTGGGAGTACCGAGGAACAAATCCAGCTAGTGGTCAGGGCAGGACTTGAAGTCAGGGCCTTCAGATTACAAGTCCAGTGCCCTTAACCGCTCAGCCACACACTGTCTACTTCTAAAAGCATTTTGGAAATGCCAAACTCAAACTATTTTGGCATTTTTGCTTCCAGATAAAATTTCTTACAAAGCACTTGCCTGTACCAACACAGTTCAAGGATATAAACAGATTTCCTGCACATATATATTTAGACTTCCCAAAAGTCAACCTCACGAGTGACCTCACAAGTTTTTGAGTGAGCAGAGCAAGCTTCTTAGGAGTTTTTGTCTCCCTTAAAAGGTTTCTATTTGCATTTTGCTCCAAGAATGGGGACTGGTGTCACTTGCATTTGGGGTTTCAGGTTTCATTTGGGAGTCCTTGACTGCATTGATTCCACTACAACAAAGACAATCTAACCTGTGTATGTTTCTCCAACAAAGGAAAGGGCAAAATAATTGTTAACTTTGTGCTTACGTTGTCACAAACAAAGATTTCTGGTGTAATAACACTCTCAGGTGGGCAGAAAAAACCAAAGTTTGTTTTAATCGAGTCAATACTTTGAAAAGAGAATTCCAGTGACAGTTTGTTAACAAATATTTTGTACCATGACTGGGCTGACAAGAATGAAACCATTGTTCGGAAACGTCACAAAGTGAGGGAAATAAAGCTTCAAATCGTCAAGGAAGGCCATTGCAGAGAAAAAAGGAGGAGTAAGCATCTGTCAATAAAACGACATGGACACACTTGCATCAGATCATGATACCAGTGAGCAAAAGAATCACATTGCAATCCTTCAGATATGCTTTGATTTATTTCCTCTGATAGTCACGCATATTCAAAAAATCTTGTGGCCTCAAGAGCATCTTTTATGAATTGCTTTTGCAGTCAACCCCATGTTGGAATTTCAACCGCAAGTCACATTTCAGTGTGCTTAATTACTTGTGAGTGAACACTTTATCTCCAAGGGTTCTAAAGTCAAGCTACTCTGATTGGTCTAAGTGCAGCGACCCATTTTTGGGTCACTAAAACTGTTTACCAATCAAGTATGAAAAGTCCTTTGTACCAGGCCATACTAAATCGAACAAAGGTATTTTTTGAAAGTCTAGCATATACTCTTCATTAAAAAGTAGTTGATATCCGCCACACAGTATTTTTGCTAGACATGCAATAATTTGACTGTTTCATCTTCACGTGGCTGTGAAATCTACCAAAATTTTCTTGAGTTCTGCATTGCCAAAATATTGCCTGTCAGCTGGAAATATTATGTCAGATGAAACTACTGCCGTCATGTGAAAAGCTAAGGACACTTGGTTTCTGAGTCTCCACAAGTCGCCTCACTGCAGCAATACAAGCTTTTAAATTATACTATGTGAAATACGTGTTAGGCATGTTACTTAGTATACTTAGTTTGGGAGCTATAACTCACTTGCATTAGCAGATCAGTAAGTTTGATTAAAATATTTAGAGCTACTAATATCGCTTGATTACATGTATGTTGAAAATTTGCACTCACAATTTTCCTTCTTTTATCTCGTTCCTGACCTCCTTGATTCTCGCAGCGTATTTTTCGTAAAACGGATTCGACTCAATTTCATCACTTGCTGAATAAAAAACTCTAGATGACGACAAAAACTTTTTTACAGTTACACAAGAAGCCCGAAGGGCAAAGGCTTGTAGGGAAGAGCATGGATTTGCAATTTTTCTGAGGCGAACACAAACTCTCACAGCGGCAGCCATATTGGAAATTTCTTACTTGAAAAACGAGAAGACCCTGGGGACGAAGTTGCCACCAGATCTCTCTCTTTAGATTTGTACCACTCCCAAAATGACAGGCTCGGCTGCCGGCTAGGGTGACAAGAAAATATTTAGTGCCTGGATTTAATTTCCTAGTCCGTTTTATACGATGAGACTCCGCCGAAGTCCAACCTCTTACCCTTTTATATATAGCTTTTTAGCCTCGGACAACGCTCCGTAAGGGGGAGGGAGAAGGAGGAAGGAAAAAACGCCACCCCCAGTCCACCACTACTGTGCTCGCTTCGCTTGACGTGACGATGTTTGCTGTTTCACCCCGATTTTGCCTCTCCCTCCCAATTAGAGTGAATACATCAGGGGGGGCTGGCAACGGCCTTTGATCTTGCCGCTTTTCGGCTTTCCATGATCGCCCCAGTTAAGAAATCTGTCAATCATTCGAGAACTGTAGCGAGCATGCGCGAAACGGGCTGAGAACAACAACAAAATGTTCGTCTTCGCTGCGATTCGACAGTGTGAAGTGAATTCGCTGTTGGTCCTGTTGGTTATTGCTTTCTTTGCTGTAACCGATTTTTTCTGTAGTAATGTGGGGCTTACGTTTCCTTTCCTCTGGTCTTGCGTTTGTCATTACGTGCGGTTTACTACGCTAAGAATGAGACCAGTGAACAGTCATTGTACTTGTACATGTACATGTATATGTTCCTCGATGCCCGACCTTTTGGCTCACTAGAGGCTTTCAAGCTGTGTTTCTGTTTAGAAGACCCAGAAGACTAGAAAAACCCTCCAGTGTGTATGTATGTTTCAAGTGAAAGGCCGAAAATTCATCCTTCGTAACATTAAAAAAAGCGCGGTGGCCGTGGTCAAATAGAAGAGTTGTCAGAGTTGTTTATGGTTCTAATACACCTTTAAGACGAAAAGAAATGATGATTGATATTCTTAAATCTTCATCCTTGATTGTGAACTTATTCTGGCAGAGTTGCGTTGGATGATTGAGTGGTGTATGGTCAAATCTCGTAGTTCATGTATTTTGTTATGTAATGGAAGCGAAATAAATTTTGCCAAGAGATCATTCACTCTTGATATGCTTAAGTTCTTATCTTCGTGTCAGTGATTTAATTTAAACTTTACCGTAGTTTCTAAGAAATGAATATAGGCAAATGAAAGTGTAATTATTTTGTGTGTTTGGAATTCTCTTTTCATGACAGCAGTTACTACACTACCTTCATTTTGAGTCCTCATTCAATTGTGTTTTGTTTTGTTGCAAACAAAGAGGGAGAAATTATAAATATTTTATTCCAAAAACTACACTACCCACTGGAACAAGAGTATGGTTTAAAAAAAAATAAGCTAAGGTCAGAAAATAAATGTTCAAGTTTGCATTTTTTGACAAGGACTACATCTGGCTAAATATGCTTCAAAGGGAATTAATTTATAAAATTAAAAAAAATAATGATGATTTTCTATTTTTGCTTTTCCTTTGGTCACTGTGATCAGTTTTGCCATATAGTTGCATGCAATGTTTTACACCTTTGGACATCAACCTACCAGGTTAGTTTATGTCTGTGTAAAAATGTAGTTTACTGTTAATGAAATCAAACTAAACCTTCTCAACTTAAAAATTGCCTTGTACTAGTGGATATTGAAAACACCATAGGATGCCTATGATTATTAAGATAATATTAGTTGCAGTCAACAACAACAGTTAGAAACTTGTGTTGAGGGTGGCAAAAATATTTTTCAGAGACCATAAGCCTTCACTGACTTTGCTGTTACAGTAAGTGGTAAAAGGGAATTAAAATGTGAGATCACCTCCCTGGGCTTACACTGAAAGAGAGTCTGGGTAGTAGGACACATTGTGCATTTCCCTACCCTTTTTAAGCCAAGAGACAATATTTTATAATCCTGATTTATTTCCTTCAGCATACAGAATTAAGGTAGCTTTTAAACTTAGAAACATGGCAAAACTTGGGCGAAAAATGGTGGTACCAATAGACTGTACTCCCAAACAGACACCTTGTCCAAAACTCTAAAGGGTGAAATGGTCACCACCCTAAATCAGCAGCACCTACCCATCTAGGCCAAATAAGCCACAGGTAATATCGTAGAAAGAACTGCTGAGAGGATAGGGCTCAAGCCCGACAATAACTTCTTTTGATGGTTGATAGAAAATCCATTTTACCTTGTATAATTTAATTGTAAATCAGATTCATAACTTAACAAACAATAAACTTAAGTTGTATATTTTTCAAGCCTCTTCTGATTCTCTTTATAAACTTTGCAAAACATTCACTTTTCTTTTTTTCTGTTTCTGGTACTTCAGTCCTTTGAGGGATTTTCTCAACGCATACCCTTTAATTTCCTGATGTACTCACTCTTATCAGCAACTGAATTAGCCTCTTGTTCTTACACTAAACCACTAGAATCATTCAAGTATAATTCATAACTAAAGGCTAATTTTTGTGCCAACAATTTCAAGGAAATACTTGAAACCGAAGTCACTATCTAATACAAAACTACTAAACACGGTATTGCTGTTGGAAATTTATTGATTATCACTCCAATGACATTCCAGTGAAGGTTTTGAAGGTTCAGTAAACCCCTCCCTGCAGCCTTTTGATATTCAAAATAGCTTATACTGACAGACCCAGTATATGTGAAGCAAGTGATTGGAACATTTACCCTTGCTTTTACTAAATTGGCCCTGTATTCTGCATTTACACCCATAAATATTTGTTGTGCCTCCCGGTGTACACAAACAAACTTACGAACAGCGAAGTAGAAAATCAGTGGTTTAATGAGCATTCACATACTGTTGCAAGACTCATACCAATATATTGTGCTCGTAACATGTGTTTAAGATAAGGAAGGGAGTCTTAATACCATTGTAAGTGGAAAAATATAAGAAATAGAGCAAGATGGACGCTCGAAAATTCAGGAAGCTTAAAAATAACTGAACTTGCCGAGATTCCGAATCACGATAAGTGAAGTCACCCATGAACTTTTCATACATCACGCCTCCTGATGTCCAAAAGGTCCATTAAAAAAGTTCATTGAAACCTTCTCTTGATATTTCTACGCGGGAAAACTTAAAACCGAGCAAAACCTCATCGTCCTTCCATGTCTGCATTCTCCGCCATATTTGTTTTCAAAGCAAATTTGTACTCAGTCTCACTCGGCCGAATTTCTTAACTGGGGCGATCAACCGCCTGTCAACCGGGCGATCATGTAAACTCGGTTCCAGACCTCGCTGCCAGCCCCCCCTGGGAGCAACCTTAAATATGAGCGAGGAGAGCATTAAGATATGACATTACAGTTGCAGTTTCGTTTGCTTTGTTCAAAACTAAGTTTGAGAACGTTGTGGGATTTTGATCTAAAGAAGCTATCGACGCGAATATGATTTTATCACATACATTTTCTATTGTCGTGTTTATAAAAGAAGACAGCGACCACCCTTAAGGTGCACAACATTATGGTCGCTTATGGGAGGTGGTCGTTGTCTACGGGAAAAATCATGAAAATAAGCTCAAACTAAACTGATTAACTTAATTACATAAAGTTATTACCTTACAAGCTAAAACGCAGGTAGATAGACAACTGGCAATAATCACATATCGAATAGCGCTTGGAGCTGCTGAATTAACTTTGTAGATAACCTTTTGCACAATGTTACAATCCAAAAACTAGCCTGAGAAAACAGCCGACATTTGACGACGCCACCACTGGTTTCCCCGCGAAATGACGTTTGAGAAACGAGCGTAGAAATTCCATACTGATGACGCGTCACTACCCAGATCTGGGGAGTGCTTCTGATTGGTCGAGCCGCTTGTGAAATTTGCTTCAACCAATCAGGCTACTTTTTAACCTACAGATCGTAGAACAGCCATCGTTTTTTGTAAATCGACTGCTATAATCTGTCAGTGCACTTGGTTAGCGCTATTAAAAACTAACAAAAGCTCAACTTATGGGACACTCCAGCCATGGTTTTCTTACAATCATACGTGATCATAGCGGGTGGTCGCTTATGGGAAACAGAAAACAAAAGAATATATTATTAAATTTCTGGTTTAAAAAGGGGTGTCAGTAAAACGCAGGGTCAATTCGTGGTCTACCTTTAATTTTTTAAAAAAAGAATGCTGTTTTACGGTTAGGGTTAGGGTTAGGGTTGGGTTAAGGGTTAGGGAAATATGAAACGGCAAACTGATCCTCACGGCAGAGCGAAGAAGTAAACAAAAGAATAGACCAAAAAAATATAAACTTTAACAAATTGCCCAATATTTCGGTCTGAAAACAAACCTTCTTCAGAGGCTAGAAGAAAAATGAGAATAACACTAAAATCCAAAAAAAAAAAAATGAAAATGAAACTAAAAGTTCGTTACAAATAACAATTTGAAAATGTGACGATAAAAACAATGGATTGTTATTGGTACAGAAGACTAGGTGGTATCATATATCAGTGAGCTTCGTCACGTCTATTTATTCAGGGTTAGGGTTAAGGTTAGTGTCATCCCGATTTAATGATAAAAATGCTTTCTCGAAATTAAAAAAAATTTCCAGATTTCAGCTGTACGTACGAGCATATGTGTGTATATGGACCTACACGGCTCCTGGGTTAACCATTTTGTTTCTCACAAGGAGCGCAATAGGCTACTGTTCTCACTCGAATCGTAAACGACCACTACTTAAATTTCTAAACGACCGCGAAGCGTGTCAGGAAAAGGTGGGGTCGGGGTCGTTGTCTACCTTTTTTTAAAGAATGATGTTTTAGGATTAGTGTTAGGGTTGATTGAATATTGGTATATTTGCCAGTCTGAAGGGTTGATGACTCTCCACTGCTTGTAACTGTTCCTTGATGGTGTCACTGTTTTCCCCTTTTTTCCCGTAAACACTGTACTATAGGCCTCGATAGATTGTGCTCGCAAAAGTAGCATAATATGCTACTAGCAGTGCTCGTATATTTCTAAAATCATGCCAATAACTATGCTAATTTTTGTAAATTATGCTGGAGTGAGTCATTTTAGCAAAAACTGCAGAAATTCTGCTTGTTCTATTTAGTTTAAATTTGGTCAAAACATCTCAATAACTATAAACGAACACATTTATCCTATTAATTGCTCAACTGGCGGTTGGAACAATGTTGCGACCATTCAAAATAATGTCGCAACAATGTTGTAATGCTGTGTTGCGCTAAAAATCGTCGTTGCGAATCGTTCCTTGCAACATCGCCTTAACTATGGTGGGATCGAGAAAATTACTTTTGCCCAAAAGTGACTAAGATGGGGTCTATTATTGGCCATCGCCGTTTCTTCCGACTCAACTGACCGCTCCTGGGTATACGAGGACAGTCTCCAGTTGGAGCCAAAATAATGTCCCCAATTAGTACTTTCGTGCTAAATGCATTGACACTCAAATAAAATGCAATTTTTTTCTTGCTGACCATGAAAGTTATGAACGCACTTCCTAAAAACTAAACCCACGAGGCTCTAACTTAAGCCAAAACAGGAACTCTGATGTAGGTAACAAACATAGTCAGCTATAACCCAAAAACGTGCTCACTTCAACGACTGACACTCAAATTTAATAAACGACACTACTATGTACAAACCCTTATAAGATAATAAAATTCAAAAACCTGTCAATACAATTACGGATTAACCTTGATATACAAACCTAATTATAACGAGACTCTTGCTAAGCACGAGTGAATTTTCAAGTGCAAACATAAAATCAGCTAAGTAAATACCACATGACAAAAATCTTCATAACAACCTAGAAAATTTTTCCCAACATTAAAGTGGGCAGTCTCTTGCGGACCTGTAAGACCTCATGTTGAAAATGGTGTGGTCTTAAATTTACAATAAGAAATTACTGATAAATCTATTGAGCAAATAGAGTTTTACATGAACCACTTCAACAACATACTAACAAAAACTGAAATCTTAAGAACATTTAAACAGGGGGGGGAGGGGGTCTAGAAAATTTAGAAAGTGGGGGGGGATCTGCTGGACACTTGCAAGCTATATATTATTAAGAATTCTTCAAGCAAAAATTGCAAATTTCACAGAAAAAAAGGAGGGCGCGATCTCCTCAGACCACCCCCTAAATCAACCCATGCATTATTTACATTGAAACATTATCCTTTTCCATCATTTACGTGCTGTTAAATATCTAGTTTGGCAATTCATAGGAAAGGTTTGACAATTTGACGTATCCAGCAATGTCAACGTGGAAGGGAAATCCTTTTTCTGCTTGTTTATCATTTCCCGGTAATTACTAGAAAGTGAATTTTGCATGTGCTACCTTAAAAATATTCTTACTAAATGATAGAAAGCAAGTCTTTGCTTGGTTATCTTTGAATCCAGAAATGATATGCATGCAGATCTAAGCTCTGTAGCTCTCTGTTATCTCAGCGAAAGATAAAGATTTCCTTTGATGGCCTTCTGCTCTTCTCCAAGAGAGGACTCTTGAGCAAAAATTCATTCAGTAAAAAGCTACCAAAACTCTAATTTTACTAATTACAAAATGAATGTGAATATTTATTATTGACATCTACAAAGTCGACAGCCACTTCCCGACTTCTTCTTTCTCTCCTTTGCACCTTAACAAGAAAACAAGAAAGGCATCATATAGAAGCCAAAACTACCCAACATTTGTTGCCCATGTATCTCATTACGCGAAGCACTTGCCTTATTTATATTTTCAGCTTTAAGGATTTAAAGAAAGAAAAGAAAGAGAATAGGCTCAAGCAAGAGATCATAATTGTCTTTATAATGTTGGTTTAAGGAAGTTTATTATTGTGTCTTTAATATTGAAGCAGGCGCTAGGGAAAAGTGTTCAATCTGTAATTTAAAAAATGCGCGCACTTATATGTGACCAAATTTGGACAGTTTGATGCCAAATCTGGCTGTGACGTCACCAGGGCACGGTCAATGTCAAGTGACCCAATTTAGAAAATTGAGGTTTTACTCAGAAACGTACATTTTGGCTCATAACCTTAGTATTACCGTGATCCTTATCAAATGATTGTGGTAATACTGATGATGATGATGATGAGAGCATCAAGGAGGTACTGTGGTGAATTGTAACCTCGCAAAGAAAGCAGTGACATACTCCCATATAGAGCACATATTTCAGTGAACAATCCGAGATCACATTACACAAGTAATAATAATAATAATAATGATAATAATAAAAGTAATAATATTTAACACTTTTACAGCGCATTTTAACATAGTGATTTGAACAAATGTGCATACACAAGAATGAGACTTACAAAGCCTATATTATACTACCGGTTCTAATAACTGAAATTATTGACACTTTCAATTGCTACATCAATAATTTAGCATTACTAAAAACGAGCAAAAGATAAAGAAAAAAAAGAAATGAAAGTTGAAAGTAAAAGAACCTCTGATAACTCAACCAAGTCGCTGTACGCTTCTATAAATAGCAAAAAAACATATCGAAATTCTTCCCTTTCCTAAAGTAGTCCGGTAAGACGTTCCATATCTTTGGAGCAGCTGCAGTAAATGATTAAGGGCCCATTATAAGGTAGTATCCTTTATAGCAGATGTTACTTAACTTTAATGTTTCCCGCTTCTCGTTTGGCTAATATAACTTAAGCTGTTATGCATCAGTCAATTCCACCTGCGCCCAGCCCCTGCCTGCCCCCCTGGCTGACCCCGGGGCATTGGCATTTTTCTTGCCCTGGATGGAAAATTCCCGGGGGTGGGGACTCTTGAGATGTCAAATCCCCCGGGGTGGGGACGAAAAAAAGACGGCAAATGCCCCGTCCTCCGTCGACGCTGCAACATTTTTCATTAATCGCACAGTCGAATAGCGCCATTTGAAGCATTTTTATTTTCGATTTTTTTGTTTCAGTTAAGGTCTTCCTTTGTAATAGTGCTAGGATTCTAACGACGCGCTAGGATTTTAACGATTCTGACGACGACATGCACCAGTTTATGGTTTTAGTATTGATATAAAATTATTGACATTAAAATTAATAGAGCGCTGTAAACTTATATGTTTTGAATATTTTTATAAATATGAAAGGATGTTCTTCAAAAAATATTGACAGCAATTTGATCCAATTACCAAAAAACGTTGATTCACATCGATAGCTCCAGTTTCGCTAAGTAATTTTGATAAGCAATGAAGAAATACATGAATAAAATCGAGAACATGCCTTTACAACCCTCTTCAATTTATTCCTGTCCTTGACAGATGAGCCAATCTCTATCTGCGTTTTTTCCAGTAAAACCTTCTGTGTAGTTATATTCTGATAGGAAACCGCGTGGGTGTCAAAAGCTCGCGAATTGCCCTGGTGTTAGCAAATGCCCGACCCCCGGGCAGTGTAAAATTTAAATTGCCCCCCCTCGGTACTGACAAGGCGGGCAAAGGGCCCGCAGTAGCCCTGGGGTGGGGGAGGCAAGGCGCAGGTGGAATTGACTGATGCATTACATATGTTGGTGACGCAAGGATAAAAAAGCCAACGGGAAGAAAAGAAGAGAAGGCAAAAAGAGAACTGAAGAACCACAGTAGAAGTAGAAAAAACGACAGACAAGGTGATGCAACTGAGGCACAGTAGCCTGTGTATAGCTAACCACCCTTTAAACAAATTAGGGAGCTTAAGCAAAGGCGTTTTTGAGCGACGGACATCAACCGGAAGTGAACTTTTGCCGTTCATGGAAGTGGTTGTGCCCAAATTTTCGGGCAGATTGTCTCTATCAGAGTAAAGAAATTTAGCAATACAAATTTGTTATAAGCATCAAGACATATTAAAGGCCTTACTTCCGGTTGACGTGCGTTTCTCAAAAAGGTCTTTGCTTAAGCTCTATTTTGTTTGAGGAGAGGGTGGCTAAAAACAGGCTAGATCACAGCAACAGCAGCAGACAAAGACAGATATTGGGGATCAAAGGATCAAAATATCTCACCATCCATAGATGCAAAGCTGTCGGATATGTGATCCTCTTCCTGTGAATCCAGGTAACCATCACCCTCAGATGACACGTCATTATCAGTATCTAAACCTTTCTTAGTAATCTCCTGTTTTTTTTGTTCAGCATTGTGTTTGTCTCTCTTACCTCTTTTGTCTGTGAAAGAAAAGAGTAGTTAAGCTTATAATGCACAAGATACGAGAAAAGTCAAACGTTGACCATAACATATACTTTTAAGCGACCTAAAATAGGTGCGGCCAAATTACCCATTTTATCCACCGGCAAATGGCTGTTGCCCACGGGGAAGCGGCTTTTTGTGTGACCGTTTTTCCCAAGGTGAAATTCAGTGCCTCGGGGAACTGGGTACTGGGTTTGCCTGGGCTGAAAGCCTCCTTGACACCATGAGAGGCAAACAATGTTTGGATCTTGAGGTTAGCAAAATTGAAAATGGCTTTAATAAATCGCGGTGTTAAGCTCCATTTGTAGTTTGTCCGACTGATATGCAGCCCCAAATCGGAAATTGTGTTTGCCTGAAAATTTCTTTTTGGATGTAGCTGACTTTTGACCTACACCACTTTTCTCTGAGACAATCATCCAAACGCGGATTTTGCCTTTCTTTACTAAAACTAAAAACACACTCCCAATAGATTGGTGATAGATTATATCTAAATCCGCATTTATACATTCACAATTAATGAGTTTGTTTGGCCATGGGTCCAAAAAATTACACCTGTCGAGCATTCTACGTTATTGCAGGCGTTTCACACAAATATTTTTGGAACGCTGAAGAATCCGTCTCTAGGTTTTTACTCACGTTCCCTTTGTCGCGTCAAGTCCAAAGACTGTAAGATTGTGCAACGATTAAACCTTTAGTTATCGGATTATTTCTAAAAGAAATGCGCCCTTGATTAAAACCGTTAAAATTTAGCAGGAGGAGACATTTGTAACTTAACAATGATTTGTGCTTTACCGTTCCTACTACTGCCTTTATCATCATCCTCATCGTCATCATCTTCTTTCTTGGATTGTGAAAAATGCCTTTCAGCTTCATGAGTAATCTGCAAGGACTAACAGGTTTTTTTCATTAGAAGAAACTTGAAGATACGGAAAGCAGAAATAGAGTGTAAACAGAAACTGTTACAGTCAAACCTAAATTAAGAGATGTCTTACCAACGTCCAAGACATCGATTCCTTGATTAATATAAGTAAAACGTTATGGAGTTTATCAAATTAAAATCATTTATAAAGACTATAAGAATTTCATATATTGGAACTGCAAAAGAAAAAATGCAAAGACGATATCGATCCTCGCGGTTTAAGACGCATCTTATGCTGCTGTGAAAAAAAAAAAGAAAAACTTCAGCCTTTTAAATTTAACACAACACCAACGCGATAAGCCTCAAAGACTGCGTAAAATCTATCTAGAAGAAATATAATTTCCATAAATAAGTTTTTTGCGTCCGTTAGCAGTCCTTCGTGTACCTTATTTGGTGATTTGTTGAGCCAGTGCTTGTCTGCTCTAATGGCCAGAGCACGTTGCTGATACTCCTTGGCTTGCTCAAAGTCACCTAAATCCTTGTAAATCAAAGCTAAATTATTATAACTTGTTGCAACATCAACATGCTCCGGGCCGAGCTTGTCCAGTTGAATGTCCAGAGCACGTTGCTGATACTCCTTGGCTTGCTCAAAGTCACCTAAATCCTGGTAAATCGAAGCTAAGTTATTGTAGTTTCTTGCAACATTAACATGTTCCGGGCCGAGCTTGTCCAGTTCAATGTCCAGAGCACGTTGCTGATACTCCTTGGCTTGCTCAAAGTCACCTAAATCCTGGTAAATCGAAGCTAAGTTATTGTAGTTTCTTGCAACATTAACATGTTCCGGGCCGAGCTTGTCCAGTTCAATGTCCAGAGCACGTTGCTGATACTCCTTGGCTTGCTCAAAGTCACCTAAATCATGGTAAATCGAAGCTAAGTTATTATAACTTGATGCAACATTAACATGTTCCGGGCCGACCTTGTCCAGTTTAATGTCCAGAGCACGTTGCTGATACTCCTTGGCTTGCTCAAAGTCACCTAAATCATGGTAAATCGAAGCTAAGTTATTATAACTTGTTGCAACATTAACATGTTCCGGGCCGAGCTTGTCCAGTTGAATGTCCAGAGCACGTTGCTGATACTCCTTGGCTTGCTCAAAGTCACCTAAATCCTTGTAAATCAAAGCTAAGTTATTGTAGTTTCTTGCAACATTAACATGTTCCGGGCCGAGCTTGTCCAGTTTAATGTCCAGAGCACGTTGCTGATACTCCTTGGCTTGCTCAAAGTCACCTAAATCCTGGTAAATCGAAGCTAAGTTATTGTAGTTTCTTGCAACATTAACATGTTCCGGGCCAAGCTTGTCCAGTTCAATGTCCAGAGCACGTTGCTGATACTCCTTGGCTTGCTCAAAGTCACCTAAATCCTTGTAAATCAAAGCTAAGTTATTGTAGTTTCTTGCAACATTAACATGTTCCGGGCCGAGCTTGTCCAGTTCAATGTCCAGAGCACGTTGCTGATACTCCTTGGCTTGCTCAAAGTCACCTAAATACTTGTAAATCAAAGCTAAGTTATTATAACTTGATGCAACATTAACATGTTCCGGGCCGAGCTTGTCCAGTTCAATGTCCAGAGCACGTTGCTGATACTCCTTGACTTGCTCAAGGTCACCTAAATCCTTGTAAATCGAAGCTAAGTTATTGTAGTTTTTTGCAACATTAACATGTTCCGGGCCGAACTTGTCCAGTTGAATGTCCAGAGCACGTTGCTGATACTCCTTGGCTTGCTCAAAGTCACCTAAATCCTGGTAAATCAAAGCTAAGTTATTATAACTTGTTGCAACATTAACATGTTCCGGGCCGAGCTTGTCCAGTTCAATGTCCAGAGCACGTTGCTGATACTCCTTGGCTTGCTCAAAGTCACCTAAATCCTGGTAAATCAAAGCTAAGTTATTATAACTTGTTGCAACATTAACATGTTCCGGGCCGAGCTTGTCCAGTTGAATGTCCAGAGCACGTTGCTGATACTCCTTGCCTTGCTCAAAGTCACCTAAATCCTGGTAAATCAAAGCTAAGTTATTGTAGCTTGTTGCTACATCAACATGCTCCGGGCCGAGCTCTTGAAGCTTAAAAGTGAGTGAATATTGAAAATATGTTTTTTGCTTCTTCGAATTCACAGTGCATTTTACAAACACCTCCAAGGTTTTCGCATTTTTCGGAAATCTCCTTATCATGAACTTGAAAGAAATTATCTCGCAAAAAACACTTTGTCAGTTACCATAATTAAAGCTTTCAAATGTGGAGCGATGTGTCTGGTGTTTAGTTGCTTATCCTGTGGTGGAGTTGCGACGATAAATTCGCTAAATGATGTAATGACCCCACTAACGACCTCATCGGTTTGGCTTTCTGCCGACTCTTTTGCTACAGTTTTTATAGCATCATGCACAACCTGGTGAAGTCCAATAAAAGAGCCACCCTCGTCATCTTGGAACAGCAGAAGTGAGCTTCTTTTTAATCTCATGCGAATTAATTCTTTTGTCCGCTTCATCAAACTCTTCATGTGCGTTCATGATGTAACTAACTGCTATGTCCACGTTTAATGGCCGTGGAGCGCAGAGGGCAAGAAAAGTGAAAAGGTGTTTTTGAACTTTGTCGGATCTCATCAGTGTTTCGACGGCTAACGTTATTGCTTTGGTCATTGAATTTGGATAAATTGGATTGGTGTCGACAAGTGTATTTTCTGTTTTCTGTCTTTTTTCCTTTTTCTAAGATTTTCAGGTATTCCTCCCACCCAAAATGCGTAGATACTTTGTCCTGCCGAATCTCTTTAACAAAGACGGCAGCGCCTGCTAAAAGCAAGAGGTTGATAGTCCAGTCTTTTGTGCTACTGTTCCTTATAGCTCGCTATTTGGGATACCAGAAAGCTTAGACAATAATGAACGGGCATCATCGGGCTCCATACCTTGGCTTACTGAAATGTGATTAACGAAAGAGCTTTTTGAGGGAATTGACGTTGTGTCCTGCGTCGTAATGAGCAAATGGCCTCTTTCCCAAGCCTTTGAATTAAACTGTGGTAAATGGACATGCACAGATGACACGGTAGTGACATTGTCAACCACCAATAGCCACGACGAGTAACAGGTAATTTTTACAGCGACAAGCATCTTAAGACTAGTGATCTTTTCGTCGACAGTCGAGTCCTTTTGAGCTGATGGTTTCCACAATTGAATAGTCTGGGCACTTTAAGTGGCGAGCAAATGAGGCATACGACTCCAGAAGTGAATCTGGACTTGCAGCATTTAATGTCATTACAAATGAAGACCCACCTGGCATTTCTTTGAGGTCTTCAAAGAATCTCTCAGCTACAAGGCCAGCTAGCTGTGATTTGCCGCTTCCAGGATTCCCTGAGATGTAAAGATAACTCAACCTGTTGTTACCGGACTCATTTAGTTCCCTCAGCTGTTGGACTATTTTTGCTACTTCACTTTCACGACCACCGATTTCATGCGAAGGTTTAGGAGGGAGAACACAGAATGAGGGTGCTTTATTTTGAGCTGATCTTCAAGGACCTGGCGCTGACTCTCTTTTTTTTGAACTTCTTGTTTTAGATTATCAACTTTTTTTGTTGGAAATGTTTTGTGATATTTTAGGTTTTGAATTTTTACAGTGGGAAGACTAAGAGCTTGAAACGCAACATCAACTTTGCTAATAGCATTCTGAAAATCTATCTCAGAGAGACTACCTTGTGGCATGTGAGCGAATGCTTCATTCCTGAACTTTCGTAGATCATTTACATTTTTTCTGACCAGTGCGTTAAGACCTGTCCCGACGCAATCGGAGAAAAGGATGGAGTAAAAAGCATTGTACAATCCCATTCCACTCTGTTTCCGTTTTTCATAGTTGCCAAAAGATGAGCGTTTCTTTTTTTGATTTCGAGGAGACTCTCCGTTATAAAACTCCATTCCATTACGAAGCTCGTCTTTCCATTCTCCTGTTGTTGATTTGTACAGTTTGTCCCATTCTTGTTTAAATATCTCTCAGACCCTCCGCTAGAATATCAGTGGTTACATAGCAAATTCTGTAATAGTTCAGCTGTTCATCGGTATATTCGTTTAAAGAGGCCATATTTGATGCACCTCCGATGCTTGGAACCTTTAAGGAAAATGAATCCTGCAATTAGCAAATTAGTTCAGAGGGGGAAAAATTATCAGTGACGTAGATAACGCGGTCTATGAAGTAAAAACATTTACTTCTGACACAAGCATGTCAGGGCATACCCAAAACCCAAATTTGCTAGTATATCAGTAGTTGGGTAACAAATTCTGTAATAGTTTAGCTGTTGCTCGGTATATTCTTTTGAAGATGCCATAGTTGATGTGCGTCTGATGATTCAATCTTTGGGGAAAGATTTTCTCTGCAATTAGTGACAACATACGCTATAAGCTATATAGGTGTGTCCTACAAACGGTATGGTTTTTTTAGCCGTTTTGGTCTCATTAAAACGGATCAGCCCATTAGAGTCTTAAAATGGGTACCGTTTTCAATGGAGCAACAAGAGGTTATAGTTTGGATCAATTTAGTTTTCTGGGAAACTGCCCACCTACCCCTCCCCTAAGTCATCATTTTGCCCTAAGTGAGAAGTAAGTGTTAATGTTAGCTTGGGGGAGGGGTAGGTGGGCAGTTTTTCAGAAACCTAAATTGATCCAAACTTATTCAGAGTCAGATACTAATTTTCGTTTTGCGTGCTTTGCCTCAAAACACCGGCTTTGTGCAGTGCTATTCCCTTGGCTCCCGTAAAAATGTTGCACGCTTGTGTTTAATTTTGCTTTATTCAGTAATTTTTGTTTTGCGTGCTTTGCCTCACAAACATCGGGTTTGTGCAGTACTTTTCCTTCGGCTCCCGTAAAGTCAGTTACACGCTTTTGTTGCGCTTAGCTTTAGTCAGAACTTTGTTTTGCGTGTTTTGCCTCACAAACACCGGGTTTGTGCAGTGCTACTCCATCGGCTCCCGTCAAGTTCGTTGCATGCTTGTGTTTATTTTGCTTTATTCGGTAATTTTTTGCTTTGCGTGTTTTGCCTCACCAACATCGGGTTTGTGCAGTGCTTTTCCCTTCGGCTCCCACTTTGGTTTTCTTTGCTTTATTCAATTTGCTTTTGTTATGCGTGCTTTGCCCAACAAGCTCCGGTTTGTGCAATGATTTTTTCCCCGGCTCCACTCGAATTTGCACGCTTTTGCTTTGTATTATTCGGTTTTAAGTTTGGGTTCTACGTTCTTTCCCTCACTAATTTAATCTTCCTTCGATTCCCGTAAAGTTGGCTCATCACTTTTGTTGCATTTGTGCCTTATTTGGTCAATCTGTTCGGCGTGTTTTATTTTACACTTATTTCCTCGGCCCCTGTAGATTTTGAATGATAATGTTGCATTTTTCTGTAATCTGGTACGCGAGTTTCGCCACGCGGCCTCCTGTTCTGCGGGTTTACTCCCTTGTCCCAGTGTATTTGCATCCATGTGTTCCTAGTTGTTTTTCTATTCTTTTAGTTTATCTGTGCTATTCGTTCCTCGCCTTTTCTGTCGTCATTTCATATGTTTTTCTTCATGCGATTCCGTGGTAGCCTGAAAGGGTATCTTATGCCCTAGTCGGATTGCTGACGCTCAGGCTGCCATCCCTTGGTGGGTTTTTCTCGAGTCTTCTCTGCGCCTTAGGTTTCCTTTTTACCTTGGACCTTTATCTCCAGTTTATTTGCTTGTTGCCACTCAAGGGTTGGCAGCCAAGAGACTATAAAGGGGACAGAGAGGGCATCCCCCATATACACCCTATTCCATAGGTAATTCGTCTCGAGTTACTTTTAGAATCGGGATAAAGTTACCTCGCGCGAGGCGTGGATGTTTCGTGGAGGTTTCGCATGACCAAACGCCGTGCAAAACATGTCGAGCGAGAGGCAATGAAAGCGTAAAAAGATCGAGAGCCCTTCCTGAATATTGAAGCGAAATGAGTCGGCGCTCACCTGGGAAAAAGGAATCGCTGGACTCTTTGACAACCCGTGAAATCAGTTTAACTCGAAGTTGTCGTAACCTCAGTGCCTTAATAAAATGAGAAATTTCGCCGGTCTATTGAAACCGGTCGTTTGTACAATTTAGGGAGTTTAAGATCCAACGACGCGGACGACAACTAGAACGTCAAAAAACAATAGGTTTAATTAGCAAAACAACAACTTCGCACGTGCAACACACTTTTTGTTCATTTCTTTCCCGTTTTTTGCACGACTACGACGTGAAAATGCCTAATTTCGCGTTTTATGGAGGACGTAAGTAAGCAACTTTCTTTTTGAGCTTGAATATGGTCCCTTGAAATTCAGCTTTAGGAGAGTTCGCCTACAATTGACAAAGTAAGTGGGTAGGAATAATCGCTATAAAGACTGAAAAAAATAAACATCAAACCAGAAATTGCTCTCTTCAAACTGTAAATTATAAATGATCCTGAGAGAATATTCAGTGTGTTAAGGATTTCCCTGCTCTATACGAGAGGGAAGGGCGATTCTTTTTAATTTCGGTTTCGCTGACACAGCTTTCGCAGAAATCTCGCTGTAGTCGTTTTCGTCGACAAAAGGAATAGCAAAATCGCTCTCCGCGTCTTCTCCCATTTTGTTCTGCTTCATCTCGTGAAGGACGCGTGGCTCTCAGCGTGGGTCATCCATGCGGAACACATTCGCGCTATGTGATTGGCTGTTGTCTAATCCCCTCGAGATCTGTTGTGTTAAAAGTAACTCGAGACGAATTACCTATGGAATAGGGTGTATATGGGGGATGCCCTCTCTGTCCCCTTTATAGTCTCTTGTTGGCAGCCTATTCGTGTTTTACCACACAGTCCTTTTGGTATTCCCTGAAATACCTCCTTGCCTAGCTCTCAACAAGTATCAACAGTCTAGTTGTTTCACTATACTTTGAGTTTACGAGTACTTTTGTTTCACCCCTTCACCTTTAGTGTTGGAGAGCTGGGTTTTTTCTTGTTGAGTTTTAGGACCTGGGTTTGAGTTTGTTTTGGCAGTGTCTGGGTTCTTTAGGACGTACCTAACGTTCAACTTCTTGGCGCGGTTCCATTTCTCCGTCTCTTATTCAGCGAGCGTGGAAGGGACTGTCGCGAATAGTATGCTATTTGCGCCAGTCCCTTGCAACGCGAGTATAAATAAGAGTTCCGCATCTCATTTCTACCCAGTCCGCGTAAGAATCCTTTGGCTGCTGGCAGCCGTGATCATGAATTGTTTGTCTCTCCCTTTCACGTATCGCACCTTGTGCGGCCGCGCTTCTCTTTTCCCTCCCTCGATCCCTTCCCTGTCCTTTCCACTTCCAACTCACTCAAGTGCGGTTCCATTTCTCCGTCTCTTATTCAGCGAGCGTGGAAGAGACTGTCGCGAATAGTATGCTATTTTTTTTTTGACACAAAGCGTGGGTGGAGAGCAAAACACGCACGGCTGGTAAAAGCGCTTTCTCGCGTTCCGCGCTCGCCTCGTGCATATCTTCACTCGCCTAAAAAACGTGTTCTGCAGGCTACTTTATATTCAGTTTCCATTTCCAATTTAGTAGAATTTAATTTACACTAGAAATATTTTAACTACACTAAGGCCGAATACTTGTAGGACATAACTATGCAAAACAGTCCGTCATGCTTCATCTGTAGAGCCTCTAGATGAAGATTAAAAAGTTTCGGTGGTAAACGAACGATCAGAACATAAAGCTTATGGCTTTTGGTTTCTTTTTGAAACGTTTTACAAAGATCTAGAGAGACTTAACGTCAAAAAGTTACTTCTAATTGCGCAATAGTTCTTTGGTATTGGCTCTACGTTATTGCCGCAGGTCGAGGCGTGTTTTCACTTCATTTTGCTTCCAGAAAGTTCCAAAACCAGAGCTTACTTCGGCAGCTCGAATAATGGACCGAAACAGTAAAAATGGTCACAAAAAGGCTATCATTGCTTACCATTTGCTGCGAAACCCTCCGTTCGACGTTCTTTTGAACAGTTTCATGCTTTAAATAACCGACAAGGAAACTTTCCGCATCATTCAATTCCTACCATGTAACTGAACCATCATGCCATTTTTATACAAATTAAAGGTTTTTTTGACCGCTTGTAGAAACACGGCTGCTTATTGCATTAGTCATCTTACCGTTTGGAACTCCTGACTCAGGCAGCAAATTTCGAAGAAACCAAGTCTTTATAAGGTATCATGCAGCTTCCGCTGGAATGACGAAGGGAAACAGGCTGTCAAAACGAAAGCGGAATGTTTTAAGGTGTGATGACTATTTTTATTTTCATCATTATTCCTTTCAAATATGCATTACTAACCAAGCGTGAAGTCAATACGACTGGATATATATGGCCAAATTCCTGTTTTTGAATTTTGTTAGACTTTCTAAAAGTCCTCTATTTTTTCCTGGTTGGTTATGCCACGAGACTTCTTCGCTCGGTCGCTGCGCGACATCATGCATTGAAGCTCCCTTCGCTCACTGTTAAGAACTTATGAGAGGTAGAGTTGTAGCAAGTCTACCATTGTGTTTACCGATAAGAAGTCGGGGCCAATGAAAAAAAGAACGACGCCAATATACGCCACTTGCCCTTCTCCCATAATAGCATTATTTTCAATTTGTCTGAGGACGGCTGTAATATCCAAGAGAAATAAAAAACAACCTGAAAGGTTATGCAAAATTTCGGGGGGCAAATAAGGTGCATTATGGCATGGGAGATGTGGAAGTGACGAATCCAGCTATCTTGACCGAACAAGCTTGGTCAATAAAGTATTTATTTTATTGCCAAATTATCGTGTTTCTGATTCACAACGGTTTGTCTTGCTGTTATTTAGTATTTTACGAGTAGGCAGGGCCACCAAGACTCTAATTTATCCCATTTTCTAGCTTACCCCTCCCAGCGTCCTTAGCTCAACGCTAAACGATGCCATGGTCTTTCTTTCTTCTGCTCGCAAACCTTCGAGCAACTAACTGTTAAAGCAACTGAGGAAGGAAACCATTTTAGATTTCCGAAACCGGTCTTGCTATTTAAAACAGTTTTAAATTAACCGCCCTCTGGTTGGCTCAGTTGGAAGTGCGCCGGTCTGCTGAGCGGGAGGTCACGGGTTCGAACGCTGGCCGGAACAACACTCAGGGACTTTAAATAACTGAGAAAAAAGTGCTGCCTTTCTAATGACATCTGCAAACAGTTAGACTTTCTAGTCTTCTCGGATAAGGACGAAAAACCGTAGGTCCCGTCGCACAGCACTAACACTTATCTGGCTCTTGCGGTACGGTACGTAAAAGAACCCACACCACTGTTTGAAAGGAGTAGGGGACGTAGATCCCGGTGTTCTGGCCAACCCTCACACATCACATCATGGGTTAGGTGGGTACAGTAAGCTCATAAATGGACTGAGAGTGGCTGCCAGTGGCGCCTTTGTATGCTGACGTCCGACCTTACCGTTCACATGTTAAAATATATTGTAGGAGGGCACGTCTGTTGTTCTCTCATACACGACTCTTCACTCTTTCACTCATGCATTCATTCATTCATTCATTCATGGTCCACCACGCGATACTATCGCACGCAGTCGCTTTCGGTTTCTCCAAACACACTTGAGACGCCTAGGAACGAGGCAGTTTATCTAATCATCTCGAGTACTGGCCGCTTTAAGACTAACAGAAATCTACTATGCATATCTTCACTCGCCTAAAAATTGTGAAAAAATGAAGCCTGTTCTGCAGACTTCCCTCTCCAATTCAATAGGATTTACTTTATACTAGAAATCTTTTAGTTAAACTTAGGCCGAATACTTGTAGGACTTAACTATATATGGAAAACAGTCAGTCATGCTTCATCTGTACAGACTCTCGATGAAGATTATAGAGTTTCGATGGTAAACGAACGATCAGAACATAAAACTTATGACTTTTGGTTTCTTTTTGAAAAGTTTAACAAAGATCTAAAGAGAGTTAACGTCAAAAAGTTCCTTCTAATTGCGCAATAGTTCTTTTGTACTGGCTCTACGTTATTGCCGCAGGTCGAATTAAGCTTGGTTTCACTTCATTTTGCTTCCAGAACGTTCCAAAACCAGAGCTTAGTTACTTTGGCAGCTCGAATGATAGACCGAAACAGTAAAAAATGATCACAAAAAGGCTATCATTCCTTACCATTTGCAGCGAAAGTCTCCGTTCGACGTTCTTTAATTTTTAAACAGTCTCATAGTTTGAATAAGCGACATGGAAGCTTTCCGCATTATTTAATCCTATCTTAATAAACTCTTCCAATTGGCAGTGTTTTTCCCGCATAAATGCTTATGTCAGTACCACATAGAAAACACACAAAGGGTAATGGGCAAAATTCTGGTGGCAGGGAAGCGCTTAAATCTAGGGATAAGGGGACCAGGAGAGAAGCCCTCCTAGGGGTAGACAAGATCGAGTGGTACCGGGGGTAGCCACCCTGGACAGGAGTCCTGATTAGTCTCCGGGGGTGAGGCCCATATCCCCCAGTACAGGAACTGAGGGGAACCAGGAGGGGTGGCCCTCCTGGGTGGAGTACAGATCAGGTGGGACCGGGGGTCCACACCCTGGAGTGGATATTTTTCCGGACCTGTCTCCAAGGGCTAAGCCTTACTGTGGGGTAAAGTGCAGCCAGGGGTTGCACTTCCCTGCCACTCCTTTTATTTGGAAGCCAGACAGCAGTTTCGTATCCCAGGAACCTAATGAAGGAATGAGACCTAGTCGAGTATAACACCATAATATAAATGATTAATCTTAAGGATACATATATATATATAGGGGAATAAGGTAATGATCTGCTTAAAATATGTTCTGGTCGTGCTAAATACTGCTACTCTGCTACTCTGCCAGCCCATATTGGAATATGCTCCTAGAGGTACTTAGAACTGCTGCATCATTACATGTTTTCAAATCAAAAAATTAAGAGCATTAATAATTGATAATAAATGCTGCTCCTTTGTAATTAGTTTTAATTATCACTAGGTACTGTAGACACACTGTATAAAATAATTGTCTTGTTTCTGCATTATCGTAAATTGTACATAATATATAGTATTACTTTGTTCTAATTACCATTGTCATTTATATTCTATTTGTTTTTGCTATACCTTCGGAGATATGAGCATTAGTTGATGCTATCTTTTGGAATGCGAAGTGAGATAAAGATTTTGATTTGGTGTGAAATATATAGGGCACATAAGAAATAATCGAAGAACTGAACAAAGGTTCCAGTCAGAACAAAGGGGTGGGTGGGAGGGAAACACGCTGTTGTGAATGAACCGAAGCTCTAAACGAACTGACTGGGAAAGGACAGTGTACCGCAAAAAGAGGAGCACATGTGCATGATAAGCATGTGATAATATGAATGGAACCTTTGTGGAGTCTAGGAATATATCATGCTACATTACAGTGGACTTTGCCAAAGAAGGAGGATACATTGTAATCAAACAACTACTTAGTGTTCATTGTTCTTTCTTGTACTTTGAACTAGTATCTACCATTACTGAGTACAAAAGCTTATACAAATGTTGCACGTTGTGTGACATAAGAACCAAGATATGATTGTTGCTAGTATGCCCTAAGTGTGCTTTCATAGGGCATCATTCTCAGGTTTATTAACAACAGTTTATGCTACCATAAACTTGAACATGTAACTGAACATGCCTTTTTTTATACAAAGTAAAGCTTTTTTAACCGCGTGTAGAATTACGGCAGCTGATTGCATTATTTTTCTTACCGTTTGGAACTCCTGACTCAGGCAGCAAACTTCGAAGATATTAAGTCTTTATAAGGTATCATTTAAGCTCCCGCTGGAATGACGAAGGGAAACAGGCTGTCAAAACGAAAGCGGAATGTTTTAAGGCGTGATGACTATTTTTATTTTCATCATTATTCCTTTCAAATATGCATTACTAACCAAGCGTGAAGTCAATACGACTGGATATATATGGCCAAATTCCTGTTTTTGCATTTTGTTAGACTTTCTAAAAGTCCTTTATTTTTTTCCTAGTTGGTTATGCCACGAGACTTCCTCGCTCGGTCTCTGCGCGACATCATGCATTGAAGCTCCCTTCGCTCACTGTTAAGAACTTATGAGAGGTCGACTTGTAGCAAGTCTAGCGTTTTGTTTACCGATACGAAGTTGGGGCCAATGAAAACAGAACGACGCCAATATACGCCACTTGCTCTTCTCCCATAATGCACCTTATTTGTCCCCCAAAATTTTGCATAAGCATTATTTTCAATTTGTCTGAGGACGGCTGTAATATCCAAGAGAAATAAAAAACAACCTGAAAGGTTATGCAAAATTTTGGGGGGCAAATAAGTTGCATTATGGGAGATGTGGAAGTGACGAATCCAGCTATCTTGACCGAACAAGCTTGGTCAATAAAGTATTTATTTTATTGCCAAATTATCGTGTTTCTGATGCACAACGGTTTGTCTTGCTGTTATTTAGTATTTTACGAGTAGGCAGGGCCACCAAGACTCTAATTTATCTCATTTTCTAGCTTACCCCTCCCAGCGTCCTTAGCTCAACGCTAAACGTTCCCATGGTCTTTCTTTCTTCTGCTCGCAAACCTTCGAGCAACTAACTGTTAAAGCAACTGAGGAAGGAAACCATTTTAGACATCTGCGTAGGTTGGAGGCTTATTAAAATAAATTTCCTGAAAATTTTACGACTACGAAAAATATAATGCGTTACATGTATTTGCTGGTCCAAAAGGATTCATTTTCGTTTCGACAAACTACATGTAACAAACTATTCTAGGTCCCAGTAAACAGTTTTTGTCTCTCAAAATTCTCCCACTCTCCCGTACACAAAATAATTGGATTTTTTATGCATTAGCCAACATATTGCGCAGAAGGTCATCACCTTGCCGATATTTGGCAGGCATCACTTTCACTTCCTGTTCTCTCCCCACTCTCCCACTTGTCCTCTAAAACAGGACAGTGAAGCCTACGGAGGAGGCTACATGTAAGTCACACTCTAATATCACCCCCTGGTAAGGGTTTTTATTTGTAAGAAACTGAACGTGAAGCTAAGCTCACATCAGCAGCCTTTTTTGCACTTTCTGTCTGTAACTTTCAGCTTCTCTCTGAACTTGCTCATCTAAACGAAACTTCTCATCTGGACTCTTCTCTTCTCTGTAATTTGTAACAAAAGGAAGAACAAAAGAGAAATGTCTTTTATAATCACAATAATTGGTCTGAAATAACATCCCCAGCTAAGTGTATTATCAGCCTACAGCCTTGATGAATAGTGTCCTCCTTGAGCTGCATAATCTCATAAAAATTCATACACTTTGTACAAAAAAGCAGAACTCATACAAAATTTCCAAGTTCATAGCATAATAATTACTACATGTAATTATACTAATTAACAAACAATAATAATAATAATAATAATAATAAATACTTAATTATCCTCTCCCCCTCTGGGGCTTTTCAGGGATAATGAGACAAATAATTCAAGTTGAACATAATACAAAGTTAAGAATCCTAACTGGTAAAAGGTGAACCAGTTGGCTATTTCACAAATGTTGCTGGGGATTATGAAGTTGGGAGTACCGAGGAACAAATCCAGCTAGTGGTCAGGGCAGGACTTGAAGTCAGGGCCTTCAGATT